GTTTAATTTAGCAAGCTCTCAGGATAGGTTAATACACAAAATAATTTTATTTCTATATACTAGCAAAGAACAGTCTAAAAATGAAATTAAGACAATCCTATTCCCAGTGACAAAAATAATAAAATACTTTGAAATAAATTTAAGAAAGAAGTGCAAAAACACTACAAAGCACTTCTGAGACAAAGTAATGAAGATCTAAATAAATGGAACAAAATTCCATATTCATGGAGTGGAAGTCTCAATTTATTAAGATGACAGTTCTTTCCAAATTGACCTATAGTTTCAAAGTAATCTCTATCACAGTCCCAGAAGGTTTCTGTTTTTGTTTTTGTAGAAATGTTGCAAGCTGATCCAAAAGTTAAAAAGGAAATGAAAAAAACCTAGAATAGCCAAGAAAATTTTTATTTCGTTAGCCAAAGTCTGTTCTAAATATGCCATGGTCACTCCCCTTCTGAAGATTTGGTTGTGCAATTATTTCAACTCCATGAAATAAAGTTTCCATCCCTGTCTACATTTTTTGTTTAAGCTAGCTAGAATAATTTTTGTAATTAAAAAAAAAAATTGTTATGCCAATGATGTTTCCAGAGCTAGCCCACTAGGGACATCATGTACTAATTGACAATTGTGGATACAAAAACGAAGAGGGCCCTGGCCGGTTTGGCTCAGCGGTTGGAGCGTCGGCCTGCGGTACAGAGACAAAAACGAAGAGGGTCATGTGGTTTAGCATAGGAAAGGGCTGAGTTTCTGCTTCATCTCTGGAAGTCCTATTTTGAAAAACATTACACACATATCCACACAGGTACACACTCCTCTGATTCTTTTCAGTACAACCTACTAACTTTTTTTTCCAGTGCTCTGTTGCTGTCTTCAGAACATAATCAGCACCCCTCCTTCAAATGGGGCCACTTATAGATCCTCCCTTACCTGAAATTACTTCTAAATTTTCTCTACAGTCAAAAATTTCCTTTAAAATTCTATAGAGTAGCCCTGGCCGGTTTTGTTCAGTGGTTAGAGCGTCAGCCTGTGGTCCAGAGAGACCAGGGTTCGGTTCTCGCTAAAGGCACGTACCTCGGTTGCAGTTTGTCCCCAGCCCTGGTTGGGTCGTGCGGGTGGCAACCACTTGATGTGTCCCTTTCACGTCGATGTTTCTCTCTCTCCCCCTCCCACTCTATCTGAACAAAAAATAGAAAAATGTCCTCAGGTGAAGATAAAAAAAAAAATTCTATAGATTCTTTGCAGACCTCACTTGTTTGAAAAGCAAAACAAGAAGACTAAACAGAGGCACCAAAACTTTTTGTTTTTTTGTAAATACAATCCACACTCATGAGCATATCTTCACACCTCAAGCATTCCCTTCCTGACTCTGTACTCCCTGGAACTGCTCTGTCCAAAGTCAACTCTTGGTTGAAAACCCATAAAATTTTAATCTCTCTCTCTCTCCCTCCCTTTCCCCCCTCCCTTAATTTACTTCCGGAGTTTATCTTTCTTATTTTTGTTTTCTGGTTTACTCTATGGGTCTGAGCCTACTTGTAAGGAGCCCTCTCTGTACTGAAACTTTTTTTTTCTCTTTTTTATTTTTTATCACTGCTTGTCTCATCTAAGTGGACTAGTAGTGAAGAAATACATGCAAACTGAGGCCATGAGACTGATTACAGAGGTTGGAGACAGAATATGGCATGGAGGTTGGAATTCTGAATTATCTCAGACAGGCTTATGGTCAAGATGGCAGAGTAGGTAAATGCAATACTTGCATCCTCCCACGACCACACCAAAACAACCAAACTACAGAACAACCAGCAGTCAGAATATCCTGAAATCTAACTGAACAGAAGTCCTATAACTAAGGACATACAGAAGAAGCCAGATTGAGACCGAAAGTCCTAACAAATAAGAATTCAATTATGAGGATTTGTTTCCTACCCCAAATGGTTAATTTTAGGATTAAGTGCTCATCCCTCCATGTGGAGAAAACATCAAGAGCATCTACCTTCATGGGAGTCAAATGGGACTGGAGATACAATTTTGCTAACAACCAGATGGTTGTTTATTGATTGCTTCCTGGACCAAACATAAGAGCTATGAAAACCACTTTTGTGACAATTGGGAAATTTTGAAAATAGATTGTATACTAGATGATATTATGGCACTATTTTTATATTTTTGGGTAAAATAATGACTGTGATTTTCTCTTTGGAGATGAATGCTCAAATATCAAGGGTGAAATATCAGAATATCTACGTTTTCTTTTCAAATCGTTCAGCCAAAAAAAAAAAAAAAAAAAAGTCTGAAGATAAAGCAAATATAATAAAACAATGACAATGGGGGAACCTAGGTCAAGAATAAACAGGCGTTGCTTCTTCCCCACCCTCCCCCCCAAATAAACAGAAATAAAATAACCTCGGAAGTCCAGGATAGAACAGTCTGATATTTGCCAGAGTGGTAGGGCTAGGACAGGCCCAGGGTTGGGAAATTCTGCTGGGAGATTCGAAGAGGAATCAATGGAAGTAATATCAGTTTGCTTCTCTAAACTGGTTCATGTAGCTTTCTGTCTAAATAGTCACCATATCCATCCATGGACACATTTTATCCCTAATTTTGTCATCTTTGCAGAAGTGGACACTTTTTATCATTCTTTTCTGACCACTCCTCTCTTCTTCCTTAAAACTTTTCCTCTCCTCTTTTGTGACTCTCCTCCATCCTGGTTTGGTTTTATCTGTTGTTGACTTATTTGTTGTATTTGTCTTTATCATGTTACCCACTGTATTTCTGCTTCATGTATGTCTGGAATAGCTATATCTATCCTCAAGCTTAAATCACATACTGTATCTTAGTTCTAGAGAGTTTCCCAACATTTCTTTTCCAGAACTTATACATAATGGCTCTCAGTAGTTTCTGCTCCTTTCTCACAAAGCTGCCCTTCTTATTTTTGGTCCTAAATTGTGTCACTATTACACAGTCCCCCGGGCCAGAAATATAAATTCCTCCTTGTGCTTTATCAATACTACATTAGTAAATTTATGAAGTACCGCTTTTAGAACCAGTGGTTCTCAGATCACAAGCAGCAGCAGTATCTGGGAACTTATACAGAAATTAAAATTCTCGCCCTGGCCGGTTTGGCTCAGTGGTTAGAGTGTCAGCCTGCAGTCCAGAGAGACCTGGGTTCAGTTCCCGCTAAAGGCATGTACCTTGGTTGCGGTTTGTCCCTGGCCCTGGTTGGGTCATGCGGGTGGCAACCACTCGATGTGTCCCTTTCACACTGATGTTTCTCTCTCTCTCTCTCTCTCTCTTTCTCTCTCTCTCTCTCCCCCCCCTCTCCCTCTCACTCTCTCTGAACAAAAAATAGAAAAATGTCCTCTGGTGAGGATAAAAAAAAAAAAAAGAAATTAAAATTCTCAGGCCCCACTTCAGACCTAATAAAAAAGAAACTCTGGGGATGGAGACAGCAGTCTGTGTTAACATGCCCTCTAGGTGATTTTGATGTACACTAATGTCTGAGGACCAGTATTCTAAACTAGGAGTTGTTAATTCTAGAAATTCATGGTTGGGCCTTAGGAGAAACAAAAAGCACTTGTAATTGTGTCTAAAACTGAATGTATATCTACAAATACGTTTGGTTGAAACATATGAACAAAGTCTGGTATTACACAGATAAGAGACCAAACTTGATATATGGTAGTTTTTTAGAGTTAAGTTGCAATCTGGACTGAATCTGAAATCATATCAATTAACTTTTTGTATTCCACTATATTAAAATCCATAGGTCTTACACTTTGATCTTTGATGACTTTTTAATTTTGTAATAATATGCATTGGCTATTTTGAAAACAGTTGTTCACTGAGTTGCAGAGATCTTCCCAATGTTCACATATTTCCTTTTAATGTCATAAGTACACTTGTTAACATCAGTGGTATTTACAGCAGAAAAGTCTTCAGGTACTGGAAAGCTTTCAAGCTCAAAACGGTGCATGTAAGTTTAACAAAATTTGGATTTTTGCATGAAAATTCAAACAAGTGCTTTTTCTGGAGACAACCATTTTACTTGGGCATGCAGCAGAAGTACTTACTATTTCTTTACACATATTCAAATGACGTATGCTAGGTTGAAGATTTAACAAAATTAATAATTTTTACTCTTTTTTATGGTCACAAGCCTTAAGTTAAGCTAGCGTGTTGTTAAAATCTTGCATTTTGTATGCTATGAGTGCAAGGAGGTGAAGAATACAAAATTCTGCTATTAGTGCAGTTTGGCGGCACTGCCTTGATTCCTGGTAGGGTGCAAGCAGTTAAATCTTCTATTGCTTTTACGCCGTCAGTACAGATGTTAAGAAAGTAAAAAAGGTAAACAAAGTTATTTTGTTATAAAAATTGTTTGACCTTGTGGACCCACTGTGGCATCTTGGAAACAGCTGCCACACTCCTGTTACCTGTCACTCATTAGGTTGTAAGTTCTATGTGAATCGTCTATGGGCCATTGTCTAACTGTCTGGTGTATAAAACAATAAATATTAATACCTGAGAAACGAGCAAATAAGTGACACGTTATAAACAACGACCACATAGCCTTCATCTTACTACCTCGGTCCTTAATTTACACGTTTTGTAAAATTTTCCAAGTTTTTTCACAATTATGACGCCGGCCAATTTTTTTAAATAGTTGGGGCGGGGAGCTGCCTGTATACTAAAATGATGCGTTATAGTTTGGTCAAGTGATGCCAGAGTCACTCCTGGCACTGCAACAACAGGCCAGGCCTTTTCGTTCCCCAGTCCTACCTAAAGACCGGAAAGAGGTGGGCCTCCCATGTTTATAAGAGCATAAGAACTCGGCGGAGTTGCAGCTTGGCAAAAAAAACGATAAAACTCTTAGAGCAGATAAAGAAGAGTAAGAGCAACAAGTCAACTGAGGCCCAGGCCGTAGCCTCGCGAGACCCAGCGGGTTGCCGGAGCGACGCTTCCGGCCGGCGCGCGCAGCCCTGGGAGCAGGCGAGTTGGGAAATGGGCGGCTAGACCTGCCCGCCACCCTGAATTCGCCAGCAGGAGCGCGCTCACGGCCGCGCGTGCTCCGCTTTCCCAGCTCCGTCGCTGACGCGTCGTAGACGTTGGGGAACTGGAGGGAGCAGCAGTGGGAGCGGGATGAACAGCGGAGGAGGCTTCGGTTTGGGCTTAGGCTTCGGCCTGACCCCAACGGCGGTGATTCAGGTGACGAATCTGTCGTCGGCGGTGACCAGCGAGCAGATGCGGACGCTTTTTTCCTTCCTAGGAGAAATCGAGGAGCTGCGGCTCTATCCCCCGGAGTAAGTGCTCGAGCTCGGCTGGGGGTGGGGCGCGGGCGCCATAGAGACCTGGGGGACTGCGGCGCGGGGGGAGCGCGTACGGGGGCGCGCGGTGCCCGTCACGTGACCGCGCGGTCTTACCTTGGTGCCCACGTTTGATTAGGGCACCTGGGCCGGGGCCCCGCGGTCCCACCCTTCTTGTTTGTCGGACTCGGGGGGTTTGCCCTCGGCGCCGAGCCCTTACAAAGGTTGCCTTTTTCGTGCCTCCAGGGCTTGTGCTGTCCGCCGAGTCCTCCAGTTCAGTGTCCCCTCTCCCTTTTTTCCCGAACTTAAGATGGCCGCAGGTGGGCCCCGAATAGTCCTCCCGGCCGACGCTGGGTGTGCAGTGTGAAAATCGCGGGGACTGCGCCCGAGGACTGTCCCGTTCCTCGGGCCTGGCGTCCGGCCGTTATTGCTGACGAGAAAGCCTGGAATCAGAACTAGATTTGTTCTCAGCGCGGTGTTTACAAATTTAGCATCTTCTCGGTCCGTCTAGCCAAGCCCATCCATGTTGTTAAACATCATGGCTATTCACCCTTTTGGCAACAGATTAAAATTTCCTCCTGAAAGGTCACACTGTCCTAAACTTCCAGAAAAAGTATTAGTTGGGACAGTGTTATCTCTGCTGTGTACTTGTAAAAGTCCAGATTTGCCTGACATTCCCAGTCCACGGCGCTTCCTAAGTAGTGTATTTTGAAGTGAGATTTCCCTTGTACAAGACTAGCTACTCAATTTGTAACAAGGGGTTTGCCGGTGCAAATTCTTATATGCATAAACTTTTTTTTCTTCTTTTTAAAGACAGAGCTTAGAAGCATAAAATCCTCAATATTTGTTGAGTTAGAATCCTTTGAAAGAAGGGAGAGTAGTTGCCCAAGATTTTTCTTTTAAAAAAATTTGTATTTTGACTTTTTGGTTTATTTCATAGTGATGCATATAAATCTTTCTTTAGTTTTCTGTCTGTATATCAAATTGCCAATTCATAGATATTGATAAAAGTTGGTATTTGGATTTTTAAACTTTCAAAGATTTTTGCCCTCTACTTTTTGTTTTGAAGTAACTCATGCAGACAGGAAAGTTGAAAGAACACCCATGTCCCCTTTGCCTGCATTCATTGTTTGCCACAGTTAATTTTTTTCTTCCTGTCTCCCCCTTCCATTCTCCGCCTCTACTCTCCCTTCTTCCCATCCTTTTGAAAGAATACAGTAGTTGTAGACACGACTGTTCCTCCTTCAACATTTAAGTATGTATCTCTTAAGAAAAGTACCTTCTCCTACAATACCACACACTATTAACATGTTCAACACATTTAACATAGATAAGTAATATATAATGTTTATATTTAAGTTTCCCCAAATATTTTAATAATTTTTTAAATTTTTATCTAGCCTGTAATCAGAGACCACCCATTGCATTTAGTTATTTCCTTTAATCTAGAACAGCCCCCTGTCACTTTTTAAAAAGTCATGACATTGATACTGTGTCTTGTAGTTTGTTTTGTAGAATGATTCATAATCTGGGTTTATATAGATTGCTTCTACCCAATTAGATTCAGGTAATACATTTTTATCAATACTTCATAAGTGTATGTACATCTTTGTTGACTAGCTGTGGCATATATAGCTTTGGACATCTTATTTAACTTTTAGTTTTTATTTTAAAAAATATTTTTATTGATTTTTAAAGAGAGAGAGGGAGAGAGAGGGAGAGAGAGAGAGAGAGAAATATTAGTGTGACAGTGAAACATCAAGGGCTGCCTCCTGCATGTCCCCTACTGGGGACTGAGCCTGAAACCTGGACTTGTGTCCTGACCTGGAATCGATCCAGCAACCTTTGGGTGCATGGGATGACACTCTGGCCAGGGCTCTTATTTAACTTTTGAAACTGCATTCTGCTGTCTCTTTATTTAAACACTTAAACCTTTCTTAATAATTGAGAAGTGCTTGGAAGAGGGCTGTATCCTGCAAGAATTAGAATCAAACAGTAAAATATTTTGTATATAAACCTTTGTAAACTAACCTTGCTTTTAAGGTTGTGGTAATAAGGTATTTTGTAGATAGACCTACATCATAGAATAGTCTTCATTGGCAACATAGTACCACTTAAATAGTTGAAATCTGGTTTGGGTGGCAACATGCTGCCAGTAATTATCTGGCACTTAGTAATTAACTGTTTTTTGAAATCAAGTATTAATTACTTGCAGTTTAAAAGTCGAAGAGAATATAAAGCTCTTTACTTAAACATGGTACATTTATAAGAAGTGAGTGTGTCTCAAACTATAATATGTTTTACAAAATTGTAACATAAATAAACACAGAGGGACCAGGCAAAATCCTTAACCAGCTTTTCCGTAAGTGCAATTCCTTATTCCTGTTTTTAAAAAATATTGACATGCTTCACTAATAGCATGTGTTCTCTGTAATGAAGTTGTCATAATCTGGTCTCATGAAGTGGATAGAAATGCAATAGTAGTGGTTGTATTGAAGACAATTGTTTTGCAGTATCGCAGAAACAGTATTTTATGATTAATCTTTGGAAGCCAAGTAGAAATTCATTTGTTTTAAATTGGAAATATATTTCTTTAATGGAATGTGAAAATAGTTTGTCATTAGCATTTCAGTGTTAATGACAGTAAGAAATCTTTGCAGCAAGCTTTATTGAGGTATAATATGCACACAGGAAAGTGCATGGATAAATGCACTTATCAAAAGTGAACATATCTATATAACCAGATCAGAATAGTCTACACCCTAGAAATTCCACTGTGTCTCCCTTTAGAGGGTAATCCTATCTTGATATCTAACATCAACACTGTTGATTTTTTGCTTGCTGGTTTTCTTCACATCTCTGGTCTTCAAAAGTACTAATAAGAAAGGCAAAAAATATGTCAAATAGTTAAGTTTATTTAGTTTAAAAATGATATAACCAGTTTAGTCACTTAATGAAAAATAGAGAAAAAGAAACATCACCTTGATCCTACCATCCTATCACAACCTCTCTCCATTTAATATGTTTTCCTCAAGTCCTTTTTATATGTGTTTATTTTGAGATGGTGTGATCAAAGATTTATACACCATGGTTGTTGACTTTTACACTCAACCTATAACAAACATTTTTCATATTGTTGTGCTTTATTTATAGTGATAATATTTAGATTAACCTGTCCTAAGTGTTTGTGTCATTGAAATTCTATCACTGGAAATATATTGGCTGCTTTTTTGGTTTTGGTGTATGTATGTATAAGTCAGTGAATTTTAGGTAGAAGCAAGCATTTGAAATGTGTACTTTTGATTGTCAATAACGATTGGAGGGCCTTCTGGCATTTATTGGATGTCAGTTATTCATATTAGAGTGTCTTATACAAGGAAGAATTATGCCATACAGAGTGCCACTGGAGCCCTACTGAGAAACCCTGTTATAATTTATATCAGTATTTTCACACATAAAACTATGTAGTTTGTCCATGTTTTGGGTTATGTCCTTGGTGATGGATCTTCAAAGAGTGTGTATTACTATAATAAAATACTGGATATGTTATTACCACATTGCCTTTTTAAAAAATTGTGCAGTGTCATCACCATATTTACTGAAAAACAAAATAACCAGTTAGGGCTCAAGAAATTTAAATTATGTTCAGAAAGTTGGTTCTGTGATTTCTGCATTAAATTCTCAAATTCTGATTAAAAAATACCAAACAGCCCTGGCCAGTTTGGCTCAGCGGTTAGAGCGTTGGCCTGCGGTCCGGAGAGACCCGGGTTTGGTTCCCGCTAAGGGCACGTACTTCGGTTGCAGTTTGTCCCCGGCCCTGGTTGGTCGTGCGGGTGGCAGCCACTCGATGTGTCCCTTCATGTCGATGTTTCTCACTCTCTCTCCCTTCCTCTCTCTCCCTCTGTACAAAAAAAATGGAAAAATATCCTCGGGTGAGGATAAAAAAAAAAAAATACCAAACAGTTGTAGAAAGTTTTATATATATATATATATATTTTTTATCCTCACCCGAGGATATTTTTCCATTTTTTGTACAGATAGAGTGGGAGGGAAAGAGAGGAAGGGAGAGAGAGACAGAAACATCGACGTGAAAGGAACACATCGAGTGGCTGCCACCCGCACGACCAACCAGGGCCGGGGACAAACTGCAACCGAAGTACATGCCCTTAGCGGGAACTGAACCCGGGTCTCTCTGGACCACAGGCCGACGCTCTAACCGCTGAGCCAAACCGGCCAGGGCGAAAGTTTTATATTTTAAAAAACAAAACAATTCAACAAATGAGGTCAAAGTAAAATCTGCTATTTGGATACTACTACTTTCTTTAGAGGCATACATTTAGACCAAATGGAATATACAACCCCCTTTCAAAAACTAAAATGGGAGGTCAAAAATTTCATTATAAAATGATAATTCTATTAAATGCATTTATTTTTTTGCATTTATCTTCCGATAGAGCAGGAGGGAGAGAGGAAGAGAGAGAAAGAGAAACATCCATGTAAGAGAGACATATCGAGGGGCTGCCACCCACAGGACCCCAACTGGGGCCTGGGACAAACTGCAATTGAGGCACGGCCCTTAGCGGGAACTGAACCTGGGAGTTAGAGCATCTGGTCCGCGGGCCGATGCTCTAACCACTTAGCCAAACCGGCCAGGGCAAACTATTAAATTTTAAAAGTAAATTTATTTAATAGCTTAGGTATACTAGAGAGAAAGCCTTATTTATTTTCATCACCATTTATCCCCTCTATGCCCTCTTCCACCTAGAGAGAATGCTTTAAAAATGAGATTAGGAAACATACCGACATATAAATAAATAAATACACATTTGTTTGCTGAGATACTAATTATCTGTATTTACGCTTGCCATTGTATCATAATTTAGCGTATAATGTCCAAAATAAAAGTGTTACTACCTCTCCTGAAAAACTCAAATGTTTACATTAGTATAAACTATAAGATGCCTGGCCGGTGTGGCTCACTGGTTGAGCGTCGACCCATGCACCAAGAGGTTGCTGGTTTGATTCCCGATCAGGGTACATGCCCAGGTTGTGGACCCAGTCCCCAGTGCAGGGCATGCAGGAGGCGGCCATTCGATGTTCTATCTCATCATTGTTTCTATCTCTCTCCCTTCCTCACTCTCTAAAAAATCAATAAAGAAAAACAAAATATATATAAGTTGCCTGGCCGGTATGGCTCAGTGGATTGAGCATCATCCCATGAACTGAGTGGTCCAGGTTCCATTCCCGGTCAGGGTGCATGTCCCAGTTGTGGGCTTAATCCCCAGTGAGGGGCGTGCAGGAGGCAGCTGATTGATGTTCTCTTTCACATTGACGTTTCTATCTCTCTCTCCCTTCTCTCTTTAAAAAAAAAAACAACAAACAAAACATTAAAAATAACTATAAGTTGATCTTGACTCTATTTTTTATCCTCACCTGAGGACATTCCTCCATCCTTTGTTCAGATAGAGTGGGAGGGAGAGAGAGAGAGAGAGAAACATCAACGTGAAAGGGACACATCGAGTGGCTGCCACCCGCACGACCCAACCAGGGTCAGGGACACACTGCAACCAAGGTACATGCCCTTAGCGGGAACCAAACCCGGTCTTTCTCTCTGCGGTCTCTCTGAACCGCAGGCCAACACTAACCGCTGAGCCAAACTGTCCAGGGCTTGACTCTATTTTATAGAAGGTAATTGGAAATAAAGGTGAAGAAAATTGCTTAAGGCAGTGCTATAGCCACGTCTACTTTCCATGTTCCTATGATAATGCTGTTCAGAATAGACCAGAATTTTTTAATTCAATCCTGGGCTTCTCAAATCTTGGTGGTATATCTTAACATGTAGTTGCTTTATTAACCAGGTTCACATTTTCTAATTTGAAGTGTTATGGGCTTCAAACAGGGCATTTGGAAATGTATTTTAGTTCCCAACAGTGATTATTTAGGTTTTCATCCCATCACGAAACGATCTGTCATTTTGGGAAATGTAGTGGTTTGTCAGATTCTAGATTTCAGTCCTAAAAGAAAGTATAGTTGTTGCAGTTGCTAGGGCTTTAGTAGCTCATTGTAATCATATATACATATATATATATATTTGTGTGTGTGTGTGTGTGTGTGTGTGTGTCTGTCTGTGGTTGCAAAAGACAGAAACAGTACTTTGCAACCCAGAAGAGACATTGAAAAGATGGAGATTTCACTAAATTGAAGAATAGAGACTATAGTAAGCAAGGCCTCATGGGACATGGGACTGGAAACCAAAAAGGTTTCAGCATCCAAATTATAAAGCCTCTTCTTTTTTTTTTTTTTTTTTTTATCCTCACCCGAGGACATTTTTCGATATTTTGTTCAGATAGAGTGGGAGGGAGAGAGAGAGAGAAACATCGATGTGAAAGGGACACATCGAGTGGTCGCCACCCACACGACCCAACCAGGGCCGGGGACAAACTGCAACCGAGGTACGTGCCCTTAGCGGGAACCAAACCCGGGTCTCTCTGGACCGCAGGCCAACGCTCTAACCGCTGAGCCAAACCGGCCAGGGCTAAAGCCTCTTCTTTTTAGAGGCGTTGTCACCTCAATTTGTTTCTGTGTATCTGCTCCATTTCTTTACAGACCTGTTCTCTACTCACTTATCTGACACCTGTCTTGCCCAAGCCCTGATTCTAAGTGACTTTCCAGGCAAAAGAAAGAGAATCTGATTGTTCCTAGTTAATTTGGCCAAGCCACACAAATTATACGTAGCTGGTTAGCCAGTGAAGTGGGTCCTGGTATCATGCGGCTAGAAGCTTACATCTGTTGAAGATTTCACATAGGAAACTGATAAGGCCTGTGCTGAAAGTATGTAGAATGTTTTGGTAGCACATACAGGATGGGTACCTAATCACTTTGATATCTTAAAATAGCTTTCCAGGAAACTTGGGCATTGAAGAAAAGTAGAATTACCATTCAAAAAGGGAGTTATAGAAGATATCATAAACAAATAGAACAACCTGTACAGATATGGCCCAGATGTTCTGAATGTGTTTTGGGAACCTCAAGCATTTTTATGCCATGATTTTTGGGTGCCTTTAGATGATCAACAAGAACAGAGGGTGTCTTTGAGGAAATTTAAGCAGTGGAGTGACATGATGAAATTTAGGGTTTAGAAAGATCACTCTGGCAACTTTTGTGGAAGACATTTAGAGTTCAGATTGGAGAAATGGTGAGGCCTGAATGAATGTGACACATATGTGGGGGCAGTCCTCACAGGATTTAATAATTGTATGAAGTAGAGGGAAGGGAAATGACCCCCAAATCTCAGGAGTTTGGTTAAAAAAATATTACTATTATTTTTTTTTACTAAACTGGTAGGGTGGGGAACTCTACTCATTGTAGTCACTTACTCTGGAATGAAGCTGATGTATTAGCCACCCGTCTTTCGAATGTTGCTTGTCACTGTGGCAGAGGAAAAGAGCTGAGTAATGGCCTGTAAAGCTACTGAATAGTGACATGGCCGTTCTGCTTGAATTTAATTGGCCAAAGGAAATTGCATGGCTACACTTAACTTCATGGAACTAAGAAATGGAATTTTGCCATGTAGCCAGAAGGAGATTTGGAAATATTTGGTGAATAGTACTAATGGTGCTCACATTAGTGACACATATTTCTGACTTGGGTAATGTGGTATCTTTATGAGATATGGAGTATAGACAATGGGCAGGACTAGAGAGGAAGAAGAATGATGCATTTTAAGACTTCATACATTAAGGGTAGGCCTTGTGACTATCAAGGTGTTATATTTCAGCAGGCACTTGGATCTGGGAGTCTAGAGCTAGGAGAGGCCTAAATTGGAGACTTGGTAATGTAAAGGTGAGTTAACTCTGGATGCGAATGTATTTACCTTAGTGACAAATATATGAAGTGGTTGCCTTAGATATTGAGTTGGGGGTGGTGGGTTGGAGTGGTCTGCCCTGAAGCCTGAATTGGATGGCATTAGGCAGGAGTGAATTGAGTTGAGTTGGGTTGGGTGAGAAAGAGGTAGAGCTTTATTTGTATTTTTGCTACTTGAATTAGTCTAGTTATAATAATAATATGAATAGTTTCACATTCTAAATGCAAATATATTTTATCATAGTTTTGATTAATAGCATAAGTCAAAAGATATATTTAACCATTATGAAGATGTTGCTAAATGTGAAAGATTTTTTTTAAATTTTAGAAATGGATATTTGCAAAATTACTAATTAAATAATACATTAAGATTGTTTTAAAATTCTTGATTAGGTGAACGGTAAAGGTTGCTTGAAATTTGGAATTAGATGATTAAACTTTTAAGTTCCATCTTTGCCATTTACCAGATCTAGGATTATGGTCAATTTCCTTGACCTGTTTTGTAAACTAAATTACTGTTATTGCACAAGACATATATGCTATTTTTCAAATAATCTCTTCTTTTTTTAGTGTGAAAAATCTTAATCTTTTAAAGCATTGTACATTTATGTTATTACATACTAAGTATATATTTTTGTTTGTGTCTTTTTATCTTATTAAAGAGAAAGACTTTAATTGAAAATAATTATGGACAGGTGAACAAAATGATCATTAATGAGGATAGTATATTTTGCAGTCTAACAAGATGGATTCATATTATGGAAAAATTGTTTTAATCTTTGCTATGTCTGGTTCCTTTTTACTATAGGCCTGCCTAGATTAAACTAAATCTAGTAGGGCTTCTAAGAGTCTTTGCTCTTTTGTATATTATATGTAAAATTTTTGTGAAATCTTTTGTCTGGAAAATCATAATGCTACTGCCTAGCCTGAAGTTGTTTAGTATATGCAAAGAACCTTAATTTTAATTCCATGTTATCTCATTGTTTCTAAGACTGTTGTGAAGTTTTTAGAGATTTAAATGTGCCAGGGTAGGGTTAGAAGTGGTTACAAAATTTTAAGTCTTGAGGATGGGGGCTTTCATAAAGGGATTTTGCCTATTTATACACTGGTTCAGCATCTTTGGGTTAAGCAACTGTTTTCACTTGTCACTCAGATTAAGAATTTAAATGTAAAGTTTATAAATTTAAATTAAAAATTTTACAAATAGGGCTAAGACCCTGCTTAGATTGTCACTAGTCTTTGCAGAGATCACCATTAAAAGAGGAAGTTTTTCTATTTCATGTCTTAATGATCTTTAGCAACAAAACTAAGTTTTGATTATGTGAAAATCTAAGAAAAAATTTTAATGAAAATGACAAAACCAGCCAAATGTTTGTCTAATTGTTTTTCTTTTTATCTTGCAGCAACGCACCTCTTGCTTTTTCTTCCAAAGTATGTTATGTTAAGTTTCGTGACCGATCAAGTGTTGGCGTGGCCCAGCATCTAACTAACACGGTTTTTATTGACAGAGCTCTGATAGTTGTTCCTTGTGCAGAAGGTTGGTATTTCACATGTTTGTTTGTTTTTTTCTATTATTTTAATCTCTGTCCTGTCTGTTAACTACCTTTGGCTTTCTTAGAAATTGGAAGTAGGTTGTGCTCTGGCATGTGTGTATGTATATGTTTGTGTGTGTATGTGAGAATGAAATTGGAGAAGAAAAGAATTTTTACTAATAAAATCTATTAAAATGGTTCATTTATTACTTAACATGAGTTTGAAAAATAGCTAAACATTAAAAAAAATTATAAATTACCTGGCTTTTCCAGTTTGCTTTGGCTTTCTGTAGTCAATTTGCAAGTTGTAAAGAAAGCTTTATGAAATTAAAAAAAAAAAAATTAGGTGGTTTAGGGAAATTATTTTAAATGTGTAAATAAGTAAGCACTTGCCTCTGTGTATACAATATTAATGATATTACATAAATAAGACGTGTACACATTTTGCCAAATTGGAGTTAAGTGATATTTATGGTTATAAGACAAACATCCATAATTGAAGCTTTAAAGTATTCTCGTAAGGTAATTTACCTTGTTTCTGAGTCCATTATTTCATATTGTAATTGTTTGCTGTGCAACTGGAATTTACTTTTTTCTTCTGGCTTTCTTTGTGAGGGGGAGGTGTAATTGAAGAAAAATCATAAAAAGCAAATTTCGTCCATCAGGGAAATAGTTATTGAAGATGTGAACAAGGCTGAGGTCTTATAGTTATTTGTTAAATTTTATGACTTAACCTCCTCTAAGAACTAATTATCATTAATATTTATTTTTTAGTAACTTCTATTTACAGAGCCACTCATATAATAAGCTGTGCCGAATTTAACAGTTCTGGTGTGTAATCAATAGAGCACTGACTATGGCATGTGTACATGAATTTTAGGATTGGGTTATTATCACTGAAATGTCTTTAAAATATATTTTCACTGGTGGATGGTGGTAACTTTACAACATAAAAATTTTACCTGGAACAATTTAATGTACTTTCATATATAATGTTTTAAAACCTCTCTTAAAAACCAGGCTAACATTAAAATAACTTAATGTATAGTAAACAGTTTGCTGTACTTTCAGGGTTTTATGCTTATTTCAGAATGCTATTCTGAGATGTCAAAAACATTAGTCAGATACAGCGAGTATCATTCTTTTATTTTGGAAGTCTCAGAATAGAACATTGTGTTTTTTTTTTCAGATAAATTTGAAAGTATTTTTCCTATGCCTGAGGGTTAGAGTCAGGTAGGGAGAATAAAAATGGATTAAAGTTAATTATTTGCTAAATATGTCCTTATCTACTGATCTGTAAGGGAACAATGAGCCTAAAATTGGAGAGCCAGGTGAGAAAAGAGCTGGTAATTGTTTAGTTCTGCAAACCGAGTTCATACCGATTTCACGCTAAGTAAACTTCATGGGGGAAAAATATCAGGTAGAAGGTTTATCAAATGGGAATATTAATTATATCATAAAAATATACCACCAGCAGCACAGGATCTTGTATTACGTTGACTCATTACTGAATTAAAAGGAAGAATTTTATCAGTTGTTGATTTGTTGGAATCTTAACTATAGTTCCATAGAATTTCTTAATACAGTATTTGAGAAGCCTTGGCTGTGATTTGTCATAAATATTAAAGGTTACGGGCAGGTAGAATTTCCTTTCTTTGTTTGTTTTACTTGATAGAGATGAATAAATGCACATTATACTAGCTTTTGAATATATTTAATATCATTTTGAGAGTTTCACCATTTTTGAACATGAAAATTAAATATTTTTGTTGCAATTCAGTTATGTGTAAAAAGCCATTCAGACACATTTGTCATTAAACTAAATGCAATAGAGATGAATTTATAGAACTCTAAGAATGTCGTAGTGAGCCCTTAAAGATCTTATTATGCACTGCAAGCAAAGTAATAATGTTTTGTATATTGTACCAAAATAAGATAGCAAAGTGAGTTTGAAATAAACCAAAGGAAGAGTTCGTGGAGTAAGTTCTATAAGAGAGATGTACTGTGGTGCTGTAAGCAGTGTTCTATTTACTTCACTAACTGCATTCTTTCCTTGATGTTATGGAAACAGCATTATGAAAGAAATGAGAAAACCATAGAAAAATATTTTAAGATAAGTTTTTCTGTTTCTTTCAATTTGCTGTTTTTTTTTAAAAAACAAAACAAAAAAACAGAAAATATTGTGAGACGATCCTAAGCTGTATAAGTAATGTTTGATGTGTAATAGTTTCATACATATTAAGCATTAGCTATTGTCAACAAAACATGCCATTTCAAAATAAATATACTTTCATTATACTCGTCCAAATAAGACCTCCTTTTGTTGTTGTGTGCATCTCAGATTTATTTTTATAAATGTTAACACTTAGAAAAAGATAAGATCAGACATAACAAGGGTGTCAGCCTAATCATCAGTCATAACTTTATGTCCACATTTTCTGGTAGATGGATTTTGACTATTAATTTGGTTTTGTATGTTTTCTCTATGTGATATTTGTGCATTATTAGATGACTAGACTGGCCAAGGCAGACCTGTTACACTTGCCTGACACTTGCCTGAGTTAGGCATTGTTTGCCATGCCACTAAACCTGCCGTCAAGTGAAACCTTCATTGGGGAAATGAGATCGGAGTCTGAACCGCAGAAGATGGACGCCCTGTCTCTGTTTTTTATTGTTTTACTTTAATTTCATTTCTTTTTTTTTTTTTTTGTCCCTTTTTGTTTTTGTTTTGTTAAACCTCTTTCACTTTAACTTGTGAGCTGGTTTTCCAGTTCTTTGTAAATGGTATTCCATTAAGGGTTCATAACATTGCATTGCAAAATATATGGGGAGATGATCAGCAGAGCTCAACTTTAAGATAACATAAATTTTCACAGTAAGTTAGGATACAGTGTTAGGAAGCTCAGTGGGAATGTTAATTGGTGTCTATAGACTAATCAGGTACATTTTGTTCTTGAAACACGGATAAGATTATTAGAAACATTTTCTGATCTCAGTGCACCATTTTTGCAGTTTTTCTCCCAAGTCTACATCTGTAAAAACCAATGGATAGCATCCTTCCCCCTAGAATTTTAGGTATAAAGAATCGGAGAAAATAAGTACAACAGTTGGGGGGTAAAGGACACAAAGAGACTTTTTAAAAAATATGTTTTTATTGATTTTAGAGAGAGGAATGAAGAGAGAGCGAAACATTGGTGTGAGAGATGTGAGAAACACCCATTGGCTGCCTCCTGCATGCCCCCTACTGGGGATCGAGCCCGCAACCCAGGCATGCACCCTGACTAGGAATCGAACTGGTGATCTTCTGGTGCACAGGACGATGCTCAGCCAACTGAGCCACACTGGTTAGGGCACAAAAAGACTTTTATGATAGTTATTCATTATAGAAAACAACATTTCCTTGACTTAGACTCTAGTTGCCTGTAAGGGGAAGGGATATTTGAGGAACTGTTGAATTACTTGTGTGTGTTTCTCTGTTTGCTTGAATTTTTTGTTGAGAAATATTCAGAGGTCACTAGCTTCTAAATGAATTCTGAGATTTAGGACTACTACTTTAATACTGTGAGAAACATTGTTCTCTCAGTTGTCAGTGAGTATATGGGAAAAATGCTAAATGCTTATTTGTTTTATACTTATATGCTGATAGTACTTAGAGGGTAAGCTTGATAGAATTCTATCTTGGAAATTAATGGAACTTCTTTACCTATTTTTAATAGTAATTAGAATAAGAAAAAAATAGACTTTATAATAGATTTTTAGTACTGTGAGAGACAGAGTTAGACAATCTCCTAATGCTTTTTTTTTTAAAGCCCAAAGTGAAAGGCTTTATAATAAGTATTCAACGTTTGGCCTGTGTTGAATACCCTTTTTGTTTATGTAGTGCTTCTACACTTTCTTGTATGAATAATTTGGCTTATTTGACATTTAATTGGGACTTTACTAGATTGGAACTCCTAATATGTTTTTTGTGTGCATACATTAAGAGTAGCAAAGCACAGGGTTTGTACCTTAAGACTTCAGTTGATTTATCAAGATGTGTTCAGGTTTTGCAAACATTTAAAAAATAATTCCTATTTATAACAAAACAGGTCTAAAAGCAATATAAATAGTATCGTATATTTGTGGGTATACAGGTATATGTGTTAATGCTAGTAACTATTAAATATAAAATAAATTACTGTTATTTGATGTTTTCAGTAAGGCCTACCTACTTTTCATTTATCTTTATGCATGTTAAATCTGTGCTTATACAGAATTTACATCGAAATAATAAAATGACTTTGTTTTTTTGAAATTAGTAGATTAAAGTAATATAGACTTAGATGTTGCAAAGCTTAGAAAAAAGTAGGCATTTATTAAAGCTAATGTAATTTTTTTTGTTCATATAAATAAGTTGTAACCATTATTTAAAGCAAGTTATAAAATCCATCTTGAATTTCATTTATGTTTAGAGATATGTTTAGATAATATCGTTTAGGGGTTTATCTCTGCATATCTGGTTGTTTTAAATAGAGTTTTTACCACTAAAACCCAGCAATTTACTCCATATATGCTATTTTCAATTTAGCATGATTTATACACTGTGTTTTAAATTACTTTTGAAGAATTCATAATGGAAATGTATAGCTAAGTAATTATGAGTAGTTCTTCTAAAATAGCTGTATGTAGTTAGCTTTTTTAGAAATAATTTTGGGGGTGGGGGCGTAAGAGAGAGAGGACCAGGAAAAATTCCTAGAAGTTGAAGTCCTTATCAAAATTAATTTAATCAGTAATTAACTATGACAAATTGATGGACTTATGTCAGAGTAAGTTTTTCAGTTCTTAGTCATAGGAATTTTTTTCTTGGTGTCTAAGATTATTTCAGTGTTGTTAACAGTTTTTAGAAGATGTTTTATAAGCAATGCTTTTAGACATCAGCTACTCCTCTTCAGATAAGTATACATAAATCTGTTCTAAAAGTCAATGGTTTAAAAAGTTTCTTGAGACTAGGGAACTTTTTTCATTAGTTATTCTAAAAAACTATAGCTGTTTCCCAAGGCATATTCTTTGGACCTGGATTCTTTTGGGCACTTCTGATATTGGTGAAGTGCCTTATTAATTGACTGGGTGTAAGCTTCCTTTTAAATTGAAGCTGATTACATGCAGTAGATTTTTCTTTTTTCTGTCTACTTGAAATTAAATGGAATTTATTGGAAGGGTTATCAAAATTGTTTGCATCACAAGTAGGTAGTTTCAATGACAGGATAGGGGCACTCAGTAAGGAACAAATTTCAATTCGCACATATTTGTTTTTTCTTTTTTTTTTTTGACTAATTTGGTTATTTGCCATTTCTGGGGATTAAACTTTAAAAAATGTTCTTCTTTTCTGTATCTGATGTTCTGTGTGCTATTAGTGATGCAGCCAACACGAACGGTTGTCATGTGTAACACAACTTTCGATCACCGCGAAAACACCGTCCTGGGAAAGCGTCCATGCTTGATATCGTTTGGTTCATGAACATTAAGTTTCCAGTACAGGTGACCCATAGCTCAAAGTGTTAAATAATTGTCTACATTATTCAATTTTTAAAATAATATTCCATTAATGAGATTGTTAGTCTTTGAAATTTTGCTCACTTTTATTTTTCCTAGTAGAGCAGGATAAAAGGAAAGACTTAAGTTGTAATTTATTTCTTTATACGGATCTGATAGATTCATTTATTATTATTATATTTTAAGTACAAGGGTAATTGTTAAATCATAGTGTAAAGTTTGTTTGGTGTTTCTGCTTTCTGTAATGTTTGGAACTTGCCTCTGCAGGTAAAATCCCAGAGGAATCCAAAGCCCTCTCTTTATTGGTTCCTGCTCCAACCATGACAAGTCTGATGCCTGGTGCAGGCTTGCTTCCCATTCCGACTCCAAATCCCTTGACTACAGTAAGTACTATATACCTTCTTTTAAGCGTAATGAATGTTCAGCTGTGTAATCACTTGAATAAAGAGCTAGGAAAATTTTTATTTTGAATCTTTCTTTTTAAATGGACAGAATCTGAAATGTCTACTTAGTTTTTTCCCCTCAAGTTGTCACCGACTTAAACTATCTTTTGGAATTCTGAAGTAATTGGAGATTCATTTGAATTTGAGAACTAAAATTGATTATTCACTAGTAAATCAGTTATTGAAACAGCATTTTAGATAGCACAGTGAATTGGAGAATCTATATTTCCCAGTTCATGAGGGCTACATTTATTTAAAAAATATGAACTGATTCACAACCTGATAATGGAAAAAAAATTTCTCAGAGAAGGATTTATCTGACTGAGAAAATGTAGCAAGGTAAAAACACAGCAAAATATTTTTTTAGTAACTTTGTGGATTAGTAATTAAATAGTAATTTAATGCCTCCTTAGTGATTTCTGAGTGGGGTTAAAAAAGATATTGCTGTTACTGTACCCTTGGTTTTTATGTAAAGGATTCTGGTCATAATTTTATTTATTTTATTTATTTTTAAATTTTTTTTATCCTCACCCGAGGGCATTTTTCCATTTTTTGTTCAGATAGAGTGGGAGGGAGAGAGAGGAAGAGAGAGAGAGAGAGAAACATCGATGTGAAGGGACACATCGAGTGGCTGCCACCCTCACAACCAACCAGGGCCGGGGACAAACTGCATCCGAGGCACATGCCCTTAGTGGGAACCGAACCCGGGTCTCTCTGCACCACAGGCCGATGCTCCAACTGCTGAGCCAAACCGGCCAGAGCTCTGGTCATAATTTTAAAGAAGGGTCATTTTTCTTCAAAAATAAACCCAAGAGAAAATACAAATCTTATCTTAATTGAAAGTTTTATCTAACTTGTAATGGATTTTTTGGGAGTTTACTCATAAATTTTATGATTGTAGTTCATTTGCCCAAGTTATAAAAGTAGTTTCTGAAACTTTGAAGTGCCGAATTTTAGTTCTGTTGATTTTTACGTGACATTGTTCTGCTGAAAACCTGCATTGTGATTCATAGGGGAAAATGCTTTTTAATTCAACAGTTGATCATTTGTATTGAGCTTTCTAGAAATTTTATTTTGGGTACATTTTGATATGTTTTAATATGTTAATTCCTTGATCACCCCCTCCCTTCAAGTATTTTCTTGCTATCTTGAAAATCCTTAAGGTTTATTTATCAACAATATAAAGTTTTTATTATTTAATTTGTTGCTCTGAGGGTGCATGGTTTCCTCTTAATTCAGCTTTAGATAATCTATTATTATAGAATTTAGTTTATAAAGAATAATTTGAGTTAGAAAATAGAAGAAAGGTGACCCATTGTTTTGGCTCCTGGTTACCTCTCTGACCTTTTTTCTACCTATTTCCCTGGCTTACTCTACTTCAGCAGTATTGGCTTTGCCATTTCTTGGACATACCCAGTACATTTCTTACAGAGGGCTTTTGTACTTAGTTATCCTCTGCCTAGAACTTTATTTTCCAGATGTAAAAAAGGTTTACTTTTAAACGTTTTCATAACAGTGAAACTGTTCATCAGGTTTCTATTTAGAAGTCCAATGTTCAGGGAGGCCAAAGTTTCTATGTCAGAAAGCAAAAAGTGTTACATCTGGAGTCCAGATCATCTTTAACCCCTCAAAGACCAAAGGGTAACTAAATACTTAGGTTCTTTAGACCAGGACCAGAAAGTAGATTAATCTAAAGAAGGGTAATTTTAGTATCACAGAACAGTCACATCTGATAGAACTTTCTGCCAGGACAGAAATGTCTGTGTCTATACCAGTGAGTGTGGTAGCTTCCAGCAGTTGAGCTTTTGAGCCTTGAAATGTGGCTAGTGTGACTGAGGCACAGAGTTTTTAATTAATTAAAACTCATAACCATATGTGAATAATGGCTACCATATTATATAGCACAGGTTTAGAAAAATGGTGTAATGAAAATGAGAGGAAGATAGGAAAAAGTTTCTAAAATAGAACTGAATGATCTTTAAATTTGAAAAACAAAGGGGGTGGTTAGATTAGATGATTCGAAAAAGCCCTTTACAGATCTATAATTACATGTCCCTGTGAATAAATTTTTGCAGGCTAAAGGTATTGACAAGAGGGAATACCTGGAAGGCCTGTTTAAGGTTTTAAATTAATGCAAAACTAACAAATAATATGAGTCATATTTGTGATTTAGCTTAACTTATAATTCTTTTTAGTTTTTCCACCATCATTTGTGCCCTCTATGCCCTCTTCCACCTCCTCCCCTGCAATCACTACTCTGTTGTTCATGTCCTTGAGTTCTTTTTCAACCAATGTATAATTTTCTTGCATGGTAAAAAAAAAAAAAAAAAAGATATGACCCTCACTGTTATCTGTGTACCTTAGTCCATAGAAGACAAGATGAGGGGAAAGAGATGTGATTATAGAAGCAACACATGGGGAGAGGCTAGCTAGGCTCAGGGTGGTAGCTGTGGCTCGCAGAGATCGCACATTGGTTTTGAATTAAGATATTTTCTACAACTTTATGATAACTTGAAATGGTGATGGTGAGCAACAAATCTGTTAGTAGCAAGATACCATAGATTATAATAAATACTGTGAAGGAAAAACCTAGTGATGTGGTAGAGAGTAAACAAAGCTTCATATAGTAAGGTCAGGGAAAGCCTCTGGAAGGGGATAATTGAACTGATACTTGAAGGAGTCATATGGTAGAAGCAGGGGGAAGAGCTTTCTGGGCAGGAGGAATACCAGGTGAAAAGCCCTAAGATGGGCCCTGCCTGGGTGCCTCACTTGGTTGGAGCATCATCCCATACACCAAGAAATTTCAGGTTTGATTTTGGTCAGGGCACATACCTGGGTTGAGGGTTTGATTCTTACTTGGGGTGCATACAGGAGGCATCTGATCGAAGTTTCTCTCTCTCATCCTCTCTCTCTAAAATCAATGAATATATCCTCCAGTGAGGATTTTTTTAAAAGCCCTAAGGTGGGAAAAATTTGTGTGTTCAAGGTACAGAATGGCATTCATTCAGTGTGGTTGAAGCATAGTGATTGAATGGAGAGATAAATAGGGCTCTTTGGGCCATGGAAAGGAATTTGAATTGTATTCCAAATGTAATTAGAAGTCATTGATGAGTTTTAGGCAGGGGTAAGACATGATGTGACATGTTTATATTTTTCATTTTTATTTTTTTAAAATATGTTCTTATTGATTTCTTAGAGAGGAAGGGAGAGAGAGAGATAGAAACATCGATGTGAGAGCCCTGGCCGGTTTGGCTCATGGGTTAGAGTAGTGGTTCTCAACCTGTGGGTCATGACCCCTTTGGGGGTCGAACTCCCTTTCACGGAGGTCACCTAAGACCATTGGAAAACACATATTTCTGATGGTCTTAGGAACCGAGACACTGCTCCTCTGTCTCCAGGCGGGTCTTCCCACATGCAGATATGTCCACATACAACATGAGGAACTGTATTAAAGTGTTGGGTTGAGAACCACTGGGTTAGAGAGTCGCCTGTGGACCTGAGAGACCTGGGTTTGGTTTCCACTAAGGGCATGTACCTCAGTTGCAGTTTGTCCCCGGTTCCGGTTGGGGTTGTGTGGGTGGCAACCAGTTGACGTGTCTCTCTGACATCAATGTTTCTCTCTCTTTCTTCCTCTCTCCCTCCCGCTTTATCTGAAGATAAATGCAAAATGTCCTCGGGTGAGGATTTAAAAAAAAAAAAAGAAACATCGATGTGAGAGATGAACAGCTGCTTCCTGTACCTCCCCGCTTACCCCCCACTGGGGATAGAGCCTGCAACCCAGGCATGTGCTTTGATTGGGAATTGAACTGGGACCTCTCAATCCATGGGATGACGCTCAATCCACTGAGCAACACTGGCCGGGCTGATATGACATGTTTTTAAAAGATCACACACTGGTTGCTTTGACAAGCATAAGTGATACTTTTTTAATCAACTTGTATTTTTACCTTTAGGAAGTGTTATTACTTAACAGTCGTTAAATATTAGAAGTTTTGCAGCAGTATATCAGTATGTAGGCAATGCTCAGAATTTTCTCAAATTGTATAAATGGAAATGAAAGTGGTAGTATTTTTGTCCTTGAAGGTTCTTTTAGTTAATTCTGCAACTTTACATTTTCGAATTCTGAGATTTCTACTTTTTCTAGTTTATGAAAGATCATTCAAAGGTTTTTATCCTTTTCCTACAATGGTATGTAAATAAGGGCTTAATATTTTAGAGTTTTTTTTCCTTTGGTAAACTTTGCCCCTGTTTTAATTTTAGTCTGTGCATGATGGTACCCTGCTTTGACCATGTGGTAGCTGAGTGGCTTTGGGAAAATTATTTAATTTCTCTCAGTCTTTTTAAATCTGTGATATTGGCATAATAGTAATAACTGTCTCTTAGGGTTGATATGAGGATTAATAACCCAGCAGAAATAAGGTGCTTTGACATTGTTAACAATATATTACACAATCAATGTTGGTGGATACCTAAGATACAATCAATCGGTTCTCTTTGTTTGTGAATTCACCCACTAACTAAAATTTATTTGAAAGCTCAAAATCAATACTTGTGGCGCTTTTGTGGTCATTCCTTGACACACAGAATGGTGATAAATTTGGGTTATTTGATATGTACATTCCCAGGTGAAGTTAAAAAGAGCAATGCTCTATTTTGTTTTAAATCTGATGCTATACAGGTGTACCTCATTTTATTTTATTTATTTTTTTAATCCTCACCTGAGGATATTTTTCCGTTGATTTTTAGATAGAGTGGAAGGGAGGGGGAGAGAGAAAGACATCAATCAGTTGCCTCATGCACAACCCCTAATACTGGGGCTGGGTGTCAAACCTGCAGCCCAGGCATGTGATCTTAACTGGGAATCGGACCTTCGACCAAAGCTTTGGTCTGAGGGCCGACGCTCCAACTGCTGAGCCAAACCTCGATTTTATTGTCTGCGCTTTATTATGCTTCACAGATGTTGTGTGTTTGTGTTTTTATTTCTAACAAATTGAAAGCAAGACCCTCCACCAGCAAAGAGATTACAACTCAACATATTGCGGTGGTCTGGAATTGAAACTGTAATGTCTCCAGGATATGCCTATAAAATGTCCTTTTTGTTGTCTGTTTAGTACCATGTTTGTCACGTCTTGTACTTTTTGTTAATGATTTCACTGTTTAAATTAGCCCTCAAATGTAGTGCTAAAATGCCGTCAAGTGTTTCTAAGGGCTGGAAGGCTGTGATGTCCCTTACAGAGAAAATATGTTTAGGGTTCATTCAGGAATAAGTTGATAATGCTTCTGACTGTGAGTTCAGTGTTAATGAATCAACAATATATGTTAAATAAGGTATCTTTAAACAGAAACACAACGTAAAACAAGGTTATGTATTGGTTGATGAAAATATTGTGACCAGAGGCTTGTTAGAACCTAGTCTTATATTTTCCCTAGGAGCAGTGATTCAGTATATAATTCAGTGTTTGTGGCAACTTTATAGACATAACTACTGCAAATAATGAGAATTGACTGTTTTTAGTATTGTTTAAAAGTAAGTAAAATATCCAGATAGTTAAGAAATGTTATGTTTCATTTCTAATTACATTGAAAACTACTGTGACCTTTCTCTCAATTCAGACATATACCTGGCTTAAAGTGAGGAGCCTCTAGTTTCTTCCCATTCTTATTGAGTTAATCAGTTCTTTTCAAGATCAGAAAATGCTAATTTTTGATTACTAACTGGAAGTGTGCTTTTTTTTTTTTTTTTTTAAATAGCTGGGTGTTTCCCTTAGCAGTTTGGGAGCTATTCCAGCAGCAGCACTAGACCCCAATATTGCAACACTTGGAGAGATACCACAGCCACCACTTATGGGAAATGTGGATCCTTCCAAAATTGATGAAATCAGGAGAACAGTCTATGTTGGCAATTTGAATTCCCAGGTAATGAAGAAACTGATTCTTTCCCTCGTCTTAAAAATTATATAGATTGATAAAGTAATATTTACCTTAATTTTTATAAAAGGATTATACTTTATTAAAGTGTTACTTTGTTTCTTCAGACAACGACAGCTGATCAGCTACTTGAATTTTTTAAACAAGTTGGAGAAGTGAAGTTTGTACGGATGGCAGGTGATGAGACTCAGCCAACTCGGTTTGCTTTTGTGGAATTTGCAGACCAAAATTCTGTACCAAGGGCCCTTGCTTTTAATGGAGTTATGTTTGGAGACAGGCCACTGAAGTAAGAAACCTAAACAAAGAAATTTTAATGGTTTTGAAAAACTTTGAAGTATTTTTGATATAATTAAGGCTTTTTTTTTTCTTTTTAATAGTAATTGGCAGTTTTTGGAAAGGAAGACTTTGTGTTAAGTATAAATGAATACCTAAGATACTTACATTTTAGCCTTTATAGTTGTATTTGAGGACATCTTATTTTCTATTTTATAAGGTCTAATTTAATATTAATGTTAAATAATATTAACCTACATAATGGTTGTAGGTCTTTTTCAGTAGGCTTTAACAAGGCAGGTTGGTTTTGCATTATGACAAGACTAATGGACAATTTAATATATGGGTTGAACTTTAATAATACAGTAATACAAATTTTGGTAAATACAGAATCCTAGGAAGAAAATAACATTAAATACCCAGAAATGACTTAAATCACACATTCTGAGTTTGAAGGTTGGCTCACATCTTTGTTTGCAAAATGAAAAATTGATGTAACCTATAATTAAAGTGCAGAAATTGTATTTCATGCAGATTATTGAGGTAACACTTTTATCTGAATTTCATATGCAGTTTGCCTTAGTCACACAGTTTGATCAGGATTCTGCTATTAAAGGATAAAGAACTGTTCCTAGTGAATGCTTGTCTTCTCATTGTGGAAGGGGTGAGACAGAAGAAACTTATCTATGTACATCAGAGAAACCACTCTTACCTAGTAGAGAAAGAGTTTTATTAAATGTCTCCCACATTCCAAGCTGTGTCTGAGTCAGTCATGGCCCAGGGGTGATTAAATTGGTGTACAGAATATACAGCTTCCCTTCCTCTTCCCTGGGTGCAGAGGTTATCAGCAAAATTTTACAATGTAAGAATAGAAGTAATCATTTTTATATTGGTCTCAACCTTTTAATTTGTTATAATCCTAAACTGTGCGGGGAAAGCAGTTGTCTTCGTCTGCTCAAGTTGTTAAAGAAGTCTAGTGTTTGTTTTTTTTTCTTTCTTTTTTTCCCCTTGCTTTTGGTTTTGTTAGCAAGAGATGATGGAGGTGGGAATGAGACTCATCGTGGTTTTGGAGTTGGTTTTGGTTATTTTGTTTTTAGCTATATTGCTCTTAATGTGCTTTTGAAATGTTGATTTATAAATATACGTATCATATAAACATTTCATTGCTTCATGTTTTGTAAAAGATGGTGTGCATTTGTGATATGCTAATGTTTTTAATTTAGAATAAATCACTCCAACAATGCAATAGTAAAACCCCCTGAGATGACACCTCAGGCTGCAGCTAAGGAGTTAGAAGAAGTAATGAAACGAGTACGAGAGGCTCAGTCATTTATCTCAGCAGCTATTGAACCAGGTAAGGCCATGGTGTTGTTACATAGGTCATAGTTTAAGATCATAGAATCTTAGAACTGCAAGGAATTTTAGAAATTATCTTGTTCAGTCCCTCCATTTTACAAACAAGAAGACTGAAACTCAAGAAAGTAAGTGATTTACAAATGTTAAAGGTCAAAAAAGTACTCAGAACATTCTTTTCCCATGATACTGAATCTTGAGGCACATTAGCCTGAGTTAATCAGTTTTTATACATTAAGAACAAAGTTAGTGCTCAAAACTGATTTGCTTAAAGCAAGGTATAAATGTTATTGTGAGGCTAAAAACGAGAATAAATATATTTAAAATGTGATGATTAAGCAGATTCACTTTTCTTCAAAGTTTTACTTTTAAAAATAAAAAAGAAAGCCCATGATTTAGGAAAAATACAGACACTATTTTAGCAAAGTAAAAGAACACCTACCTCTTTAGTTAGTTGTGTTGCTAACTAAAATTTAAAAATCCAATCTAAAAATGTCTAGATGGTTTACATTTGAGCATATTTTCTAAATTAGCACTCAGAATATAAGCTTCAATTCTAGCAAAATAAATGGAGAAAGGATTTAAAATCACTGTTATAGAAATTACAGACATGTTATAATCGTACATTATGGCAGCAACAAAATATTACGAACAGCTGTTTATAATCATCTGGTTTATATGTACTGCTGCAGGGTGGCTGCACTCAACGAGTTTATGCAATGACTTTCTTGGATGTTTCTGAAGGATAATTGCACAGGAGGAGGATGTACAGAGAGTAGGCCCCTTGCACTATATGTGGTACATTCCACTTGTGCCTGATTATTAACTGGGATCTTTAATTGTTCTGAGCTTACACTGCAAAGTGGTTTTTTCCTCCCAGAGTCTGGAAAGAGCAATGAAAGAAAAGGCGGTCGATCTCGTTCCCACACTCGTTCAAAATCCAGGTCTAGCTCAAAATCCCATTCTAGAAGGAAAAGATCACAATCAAAACACAGGTGAGAATTTCTGCTATCATTTTAAATAATTTTGGTTTTGTATTAAAAATAGTTAAGATTTCTGAGTTTTTGTCTAAACATCAAAGTATGGTTACCATTAAATTTGCTTTAATTATAGTTATCATAGTTAAGAATGAAAATTTTATCTAATATATAATTTTTATGTCAATTTTTAGTTTTAGAAGTTGGTTTTCTATCTTTAAGACACTCTGTTTCTGATTTTTCTAAGAGTGAACTAGTCTTTATATGGAACTGGCAGAAGCTTTTCATTTTGAGAAAAGGGAACCATGTGTATGGTGATGCTGAAAATATTGCTGAAGTTGCTGTCCCTCTCCTCCCCATGTCCACTCAAGGCCTGGGAAGTACAACCCCTAATCTTGCTTTCAAGTTGTTACCTATCTCCAGTACTTTGGGACCTGAAACAGGAGGAACTTGCAGCTTTAGTTCCAACTATCGTATTGTGCTTAAGCTCTATTTCTGTTGTCTTATTTTTGAGCATAGCTCTATTTTTTGTTAATCCTCACCTGAAGATATTTTTCCATTGATTTATGGATTGAGTGGAGGGGGAGGTAGAGAGAGAGAAACATTGATGTGAGAGAGACACATCTATTGGTTGGCTCCTGCATGACCTCTACTGGGGCCAGTGATCAAACCCGAAACCTAGGTTTGTGCCCTTGACTAAGAATTGAATCCAAGGCCCTTTGGTCAAGGGCTGATGCTCTAACCACTGAGCAAACTGGCCTGGGCTGTTGTTTCAATTTTCTTTTTAAATCTGTTGTTTTATGTTTGGCTCAAAGGGGACCTTAAAATGTAACACCACCTTGATTCCCAGTCTAAAGTGTTATGTTTGTCTTTAAGATGTGGAGGGGCTGTTACTGAACTGTGAAAATGTATATAGTGCAGTGGTTCTCAACCTTCCTCCTTTTTTTTTTTTTATCCTCACCCGAGGATATTTTTCCATTTTTTGTACAGATAGAGCGGGAGGGAGGGAGAGGAAGGGAGAGAGAGAGAAACATCGACGTGAAGGGACACATCGAGTGGCTGCCACCCGCACGACCAAACAGGGCCAGGGACAAACTGCAACCGAAGTACGTGCCCTTAGAGGGAACCGAACCCAGGTCTCTCCGGACCGCAGGCCGATGCTCTAACCGCTGAGCCAAACTGGCCAGGGCTCAACCTTCCTGATGCTGCGACCCTTTAATACAGTTCCTCGTGTTGTGGTGACCCCAACCATAAAATTATTTTTGTTGCTACTTCATAACTGTAATTTTGCTACTGTTAAAATCACCATCAGAAATATGTGTTTTCCGATGGTCTTAGGTGACCTCTGTGAAAGGGTTGTTTGACCCCCAAAGGGGTTGAGAACCGCTGATATAGTGGATTCTAACTGCATGCTGTATATACACATATACTTATGTCTAAAGAGAAGAGGTAAAGAGAAGCATGTGTGCATGTGTTTGTATGTGTGGTGTGGTAGGGGTATTAGAGAAGGAGGGAAAGTTTGAGAGGAGTGAACCAGTAAGCTGCTGTTTGTTGAACCGCACCAGCAAGCTCAGCTTAATCTGTTTTTCTGTGTTGTTCAAGGAAACTGAAACGAGATAGGAAAATATAATATTCTTTCTTTAACTCTAGTAGGCTATACTTCTTGCTGTTTACTGGTGTATACTTCTCTGTTAGTCTTAGTTTTGATCATTTCTTTTGGGATGTTGTTTTACTCTCTATTTCATTGAAGGCCTTAGAGTAAGGCAAGATCATGCAAGTGAAGGAAGCTGTTATTTATTTATTTATTTATCTATTTATTCATTCATTCATTCATTCACTTATTTTTTATTCTCACCCAAGGACATTTTTGCATTTATCTTCAGATAAAGCGGGAGGGAGAGAGAGGGGAATAGAGAGAGAGAGAAACATCAATGTGAGAGAGACACGTTGAGCGGTTGCCACCCACACGACCCCGCCTGGGGTGGGGATACTCTGCATTCGAGGTCCCTGTCCTTAGTGGGAACCAAACTTGAGACACTCTGGTCTGAAGGCTGACGCTCTAACCACTGAGCCAAACCGGCCAGAGCAGGAAGTTGTTTTGTGTACAATGAATGACGAAGTGCAGCGGAAGCCAGAACTGGAGAAGGAAAGGGGTATAGAAGCGGTGGTGCTGGATTGTGCATACTACCATTGGTTGACAGGATGTGGTGAATGGAAAGGAGATCAAGGAAATACAGAATTGAACTGAAGAGTAACAGTTTCTTTTCTAAGGGGGGAAAAACAATCAATGACCTGAATCTCATTTTGTGTTGATTACGAGAGCCAGGGTCCAAATCTAATACTTTAGTAGTTTTCTAGGCTAGAATAAAGCAAAATTTAGTGAATAACATCATTGTTTTCTTGATAATCTCTCGGAAGCTTTATCTGTTGGGGCAAATAATTTAACTATCCACTTTAAGATGTTTGCTCTTATCATTTTAAATATATTTGGATGTTTTCCCCTTCCAGGGATTAATGGGGGGAGGATTATTCAGTCTAAAATGAAATTTGTTAATTATGGTTCTCATTCATGGGAGTGCTCTCATATAGGTCTATCTAACTGTGTAGCATTATAAATTACTTATTCTTAGCATGCATACAATTGGCTCTCGAGCAACATGGGTTTAACTGCGTGGGTCCACTTATATGTGGATTCTTTTCAATAAATGTATAGTCAGCTCTCTATATTTATGGGTTTAGGATTCGTGGATTCAACCAACCACATATTGAAGACAGTATGTATTTTTGATCTGCCCTTAGGAATCCATGAATGCAAACGGCTGACTGCATTCATTGTTCCGTGCCATTTTGTATAAGGGACTTGATCATTTGCAGATTTTAGTATCTGTGGTGGCGGGAGGGGGCTAGTTCTGGAACCAATTCTTTGTGGATTCTGAAGGATGACTGAAGTTTTGGGAGAGTCAGATTTTCAACTGTGCGGGGGTCAGCACCCTGACTCCTATATTGTTCATGGGTCAACTGTATGTATGTATGCATGTATGTATGTATATGCACACGCACATATATATGTGTCTGCATATATACATGCATATACAAATGTACACACGTTTTTTTGTAAACATGTACTATTACAAAAATTTTTTTTCTTTATTGATATATTAGAGGGACAGAGGAAGGGAGAGGGAGAGAAAGATGGAAACATAGATGAGATTGGCCGCCTCCTGCATGCCCCACCCCAATGGGGATCAGGTCCACAACCTGGGCATGTGCCCTGACTGGGAATAGAACTGGCGATCTTTTAGGGCATGGGTCAGTGCTTAACCACTGAGCCACACTGGCTGGGCTAAACGTGTACTATTTTTATACATGGTTTATAGAAACGCATAATAGCTTTTATCAAGTTCTTAAAGAAATACATAAGAGGATGAGTTCTGTTTAAAGGGGGGGGGGAACCTTACCCAAAAAACGTAAGGGTCTTTGGAAGTAGCTTCCTTTACCTTAGCAGGGGAAGGGGATAATAGGCATTTCTTGACTTCCTCTCCCCTGCTTGTGGGATTTGATATCCTTGGCTTTGGCTCTGACCTGCTCTGCTAGACTTTGCAGGAGTGTGGGTTGCAGGAGCCCTTGCTCTTGAAGGCCCCTCTTCTTTCTCACTGTTCTCAGGTGCTTCTATCTTTTTTTTTTTTTTCTTTATTGATTTTAGAGAGGGAAGAAAGGAGAAGGAGAGATAGATAGAAACATCGATGAAAGATAACATTGATTGGCTGCCTGTGCATGCCCCCCACTGGGGATTGGGCCCACAACCTGGTCATGTTCCCTGATCAGGAATCAAACTGGTGACCTCTTGGTGCATGGGTGGACACTCAACCACTGAGCCACACTGTCTGGGCTCAGGTGCTTCTAAAGCCTCCCCTTCCTCCTTTCCTTATTCCTTCCCCTTCTTATGTTAGAAGGGAGGGAGGGGTTTTTTTGTCTCTGTGACCTTGGCTAGGACTGGGGTGATGTGTTGCCACTTTGTTTCCAAATTTTTGCATTTTTTCTTCCGGATGGTGTTAGAAAAGGTGGGTAGTACTATAATTATTATAGTTTAAAGTTAAGTAACTTTTACAGACCAGCATAGAAACTATAAGACATTTTGTAATACTTTATGGGAAACAATTGACTTACAAATATTCTTTGATGCAACATGATGGTAAATTGCCCTTTATTCACAGTTTAATTTATAAATGCAATTTTGCACATGACTAAAACAGTGGTTCTCAACCTTCCTAATGCCGTGACCCTTTAATACAGTTCCTCATGTTGTGGTGACCCCCAACCATAAAATTATTTTTGTTGCTACTTTATAACTGTAATTTTGCTACTGTTATGAATCGCCATGGGAAATATATGTTTTCCGATGGTTTTAGGTGACCCTTGTGAAAGGGTCATTTGACTTCCCATAGGGGTTTCGACCCACAGGTTGAGAACCGCTGCTCTAAAATGAGAACTGCTAACAATAACTTAAATCTTTTATCTTTGGTTGGATTAGATTTACTCTTGATTGGAAGCTTTTAGCATTCCTAGTCAGAAAACTTGTAGGTGACTAGAAGGAGAGATAGAGACATGAAAATATTTAATCTCAAAATTAAAATACAGTAATTATTCTTGGGCAGTGACTTTCAGACTCTGAGGACCTACAGGGTAAGGTAGGAAGCCAAGTAATTTTGTTCTGTTAGGGCTATGGTTAAACTTTTAAAAGGAGTTTTGTTGCTTAATTAAGGTTTGGAAAGCACTGTTTGGTTAAAACAAAATTATTTGTTTTATTTAGTAAGGTTAATTAGAACAGATCTCTTAAGACTTTTTATTAAATACATGTAATAAAGGGCCCTTGCTTCTGTTACTCTATGTGGATCTCTGGACTAAAAATGTTTTAAGTTTTGCATTTTTTGCCTTAATACCTATTACTTGATCCTTGTCTCTCTTAAGTTATTGATAAAAGTTTCAACAAACTATGAATTATCTTCTTATATTAAAAATATGGTATGACGATTAACGTAAAATTTTTAAAGGCATAGATGAGTGAGTGGTTCAGTTGAAAATTAGCTGTTGGAAAACAAATTTTAACTGAAAAATGTGTTTAAAAAAACATATATATATCTTGTGGTTAATCCTCACCCGAGGCTATTTTTCTCATTGATTTTTAGATAGAATGGAGGGGGCTGGGCAAGGGAGTGGGGGGGGAGGGGTCGTTAGAAAAAGAGAAAGAGGAACACTGATGTGAGAGGGACTCATCGATTGGTTGCCTCCCACATGACCCTGACTGGGGCGGGAATCAAACCTGCAATGGAGGTATGTGCCATTGATAGTATGTGCCCTTGATGGGGAAAGGAACCTGCGACTCTTTGGTCTATGGGCTGATGCTCTAACCACTGAACCAAACTGGCCAGGGCAAGATTTCATTATTTATTGAGGGTTGTCTGGTTTCATAGTGTACCCCAAGCATTTAACTATATGTATTTCTTTTATAGATATTTTTTTTAATTCATGAAAACATGAATATCAAGATTAAATTTAATTATATAAAGCATACCTTTGGAAGTTCATTTGACCTCTTTGGAATAAAGAAAGATAGAATTTAAAGTTTTCATTTATATTGTTGATGGTGTTCTTGAGAGTTAGGAATTTTAAGCATTTACTGTGCGCCAGAGACTGCTAGACAGTTAATTTTTCATACATCATCTGATTTAATTCTCATGACAGCCCTAGGAGATGTAGGTATAATTCTTACTCCGTTTTACAAATGAAGAAACTCAGGTTTGGAGAGATTGACTAGACTGGTCAGAGTTCTCACAGCTAATGTGTGGCATAGCTAAGTGTTGGGCCAGATTTTCTGACTCCACAGCCCATGAGTCTCATCACTATGTTAAGGTTGTGTGCATTCAGCTTTGTTATATTTCAATACATAGTTCCTAGGATACTTCATAATGAAAAAAAAATCACATTACATAAGCAGTTATTTCAGTGAAGGAAAGATAATTTTACAATTGGAATACCATTATTTTTCCTTCAAGAATTCCAGTAATAAAGGTTTCTTTTAATAGCTATGTTTATATAGTTATAAAATCAAGGCCTTGCAAATCCAACATTTGATTATATCTAGCTTTAACTCATAAGCAATGATGTTTATTTTCCTGTCACACCGGTACTGTCACTAGTACAATGCTGCTTATATAGTCTTACTATGTGTTGTGACAAATAGCACACAGCCATTTATAGAAACTATTGAACTGTAAACCACTACTCAAGATTACAACTTGTCAAGATGAGTTGTAATTACAAGCAGTCATTAAATTCAAGCCAAGAATTAAAGACAATTTATGGTATGAAAACTCGAACCATAGGAGAAGTATTCTATACTAATTGAGGTATATAAAATTAGCAAAAAAGATTCTCATGAGAAAAGAGATAAGTCACAGAACTAGCATTATTTTGCTTTCTGTTTTCACAGAGGTATATTCTGCTGTTTTATGAGGCATTCTGCAGAGGGGGAAAAAATGAACAAGAAATTAGCAACAAAAAAAAGCCACACCTGAAACTATTAAGTCTGACATAGGAAATAACTTAAATAATTTAAACTTTTTCTGTTATTATATTTGTGTTCTGCACAAGGATGTATCTGGTAAAGTTTCCAGTAAATAAATTTATTTTAGATAATGTAACTGAAGCATTACATAGAGAATTTAAAAATATTGATATATACTTTTGGGATAGGTTTTAAAATTCTCTTATTTGAAAGACACATTTAAAAATTGAAATTCTAAGAAAAAGGTTTAACGTTCTAACAATATGTTTTCCTTTAGGAGTAGATCCCATAATAGATCACGTTCAAGACAAAAAGATAGACGTAGATCTAAGAGCCCACATAAAAAACGCTCTAAATCCAGGGAAAGACGGAAGTCAAGAAGTCGTTCGCATTCACGGTGAGTTTTTGGAAAATTAAGGATAATTTTTTTCATGGCTTCATTTGTTAAAAATATGTTGTGGTTTAGGTTTTTAATGAGATAAATTAAAATTTTTTTTGATTGTTTTAGTAATGATTAATATTGGTTGCTATTGGTTTGATCCAATGGCCATCATGACTCGTGAGGTTTCCAGACTGTTGTACTTAATTCCACATGTAATTGTTTTATTTAGAAGCTTCAGTTACAACTGAGTTATATAGAAATTTGTGTGATGTCTTACAACTACTATAAATCGTTTTGTGTTGATAATTATTGAAGAAAGAGAGGGAGGTCCTTTCAGGGAATAGAATTATTTCAGTTATGGATTTACTTATTTACTTTTGTTTTTAAAGGGACAAGAGAAAAGACACCCGAGAAAAGATCAAGGAAAAGGAAAGAGTGAAAGAAAAAGATAGAGAAAAGGAAAGGGAAAAAGAGAGAGACAGGGAAAAGGAACGTGAAAAAGAAAAGGAACGAGGTAAAAACAAAGATAAAGAGCGGGAAAAAGACCGAGATAAGGATAAAGACAAGGAAAAGGACAGAGAGAGAGAACGGGAAAAAGAGCATGAAAAGGATCGTGACAAAGAGAAAGAAAAGGAACAGGATAAAGAAAAGGAACGAGAAAAGGACAGACCCAAAGAGACAGATGAGAAAAGAAAGAAGGATAAAAAATCCAGAACACCGCCCAGAAGTTACAATGCATCAAGAAGATCACGTAGTTCCAGCAGGTTTGATATGCTTAAATTTTTACCAAGGGGTTTACTGATGACAAATGAAAACATAAATTTTAACTGAGGTACAGAATATATTTTCTGTACAAGTGGAATCACAGTAATATCAGAACATTTTTCTCTGCAGAGTAAAACTCATTTCTATAACAGAGGGCTTGCCACAGTATTGAACCTGTGCGGAGGAAGGATGGATGATGGGCAAAATTATTTGAAAAGTTTTACTTACATTTTGTGATCAATTACTGGTGGTAGCGGCATTAGCAGATGCTGCTGCTGATTTTCTTGGAGGGTGCGATGGCAGGGGCAAGTTTTTTTTTTTAATTGTGGTGACGTTAGTTAGTACAATTATATAGGTTTCAGATATACGGTTCTATAATATATCATCCATATATTGCATTGTGTGTTTACCACCAAAAGTCAAATCTTTTGTCACCACATATTTGACACCCTTCATATACCGCCCCCACAGTCTCTTTTTCTGGTAACCACCATACTGTTGTCTGTCTTATGCGTTTTTGTTTGTTCATTTGTTGCTTTCAGTTTTATATATTCCACATAAGAGTAAAATAATAGGTTCTTGACTTTTTCTGTCTTAGTTTGAGAATCAAAGTCTATCCATGTTGTCACAGATGGCAGTATTTCATCTTTTTTTATGCCTGAGTAGTATCCCATTGTATATTTGTACCACATCTTCTTTGTCCAATCATCTATCAAAGGACAGTTCAGTATCACATCACAAGACAGGTATCAACAAGACAAGTATTAACAAGTGTTGGAAAGGCTGTGGAGAAAAAGGCATCCTCATTTACTGCTAGTGGGAATGTAAACTGGTGCAGCCACTGTGGAAAACAGTAATGGAAGTTCCTCAAAAAATTAAGCATAGAGCCAGCCATTCCTCTCTCGGTATCTACCTCAGAAATTTTGAAAACATTTATTCCCAAAGATATGTGTACCCCATATTCATTGCAGCATTAGTCATAGTGGCCAAGACATGGAAACAACAGAAGTGTCTTTTTTTTTTTTAATATAGAAGAATTGACCTCTTAGGCTTCTGTATTTCTTTGGAATTGTGTGGTAAGTTTTATTATGTGAAATGATTTTTAAAGTTGCAATGTTAGTGCTTTTGTCATCTAAGTTAATTTTTACTGCAGTATTTTGTTGAGTGCATGATGTTTAAATTTTGGTTTTGTCAATTTTAAGGTTTTGCTTTTTTCTTAGGACTGTTCCCTCAATTGTTAATAGGTATACTGCCACCAGGTGGAGTAGGTTGCCATATTAACAGCAGCAAAATGAAGACCTTCATTGATTTAGGATTATGTAAATCTACATCCATTATGCCAGATGATACCATGACTATAAATAAATAGAAGTTTATAACGTGTTAAGCTATGTATTTTATTTTATTTTATTTCTTTCTTTATCCTCACCTGAGGAAAATTTTCCATTTTTGTTCAGATAGAGTGGGAGGGAGGGGGAGAGAGAGAGAGAGAAAGAAACATCGACGTGAAAGGGACACATCAAGTGGCTGCCTCTCACATGACCCCAACCGGGGCTGGGACGAATTGCAACCGAGGTACATGCCCTTGACCAGAATGAAACCCTCACTCATTGGTCCATGGGCCCACGCTCTAACCGCTGAGCCAAACCGGGGCAAGCTATATATTTTAAAAATACATATTTTTAGCCCTGGCTGGTTTTGCTCAATGGTTAGAGTGTTGGCCTACGTTCCAGAGAGACCTGGGTTCGGTTCCCGCTAAGGGCATGTACCTCGGTTGCAGTTCGTCCCTGGCCCTGGTTGGTTGTGTGAGTGGCAGCCACTCGATTTGTCCCTTTCACATTGATGTTTCTCTCTCTCTCTCTCTTCCTCTCCCTCCCTCTCTGTCTGAACAAAAAATGGAAAAATGTCCTTGGGTGAGGATAAAAAAAAATAATAAAATAAATAAAAATACATATTTTTAGCAAGTGTTAAAGGTGTTTTTTTTAAAAAAAAAAGTTTATTGATTCTTTTAGAGAGAGGGAAAGGGGAGAGTGAGATAGAAACATCAATGTGAGAGAGAAACATCGATTGGCTGCCTCCCGCACACCCCCTACTGGGGATTGAGCCCACAACCCGAGCATATGCCTTGACCATGAATTGAACTGGGACTTCTCAGTCTGTGGGATGATGCTTAATCCACTGAGCCACACTGGCTGGGCTTTAAAGGTTTTTAAGCATAATTTTTCATAGAAAGTAATTTCTGAAACAGAGAAATGTCTGTTATTTTCAAAACTGTGTTTTAATAGCTTATTTTTAATGCTAGTCTTTGGTTAGATAATAAAAGATAATTCAGGCATTTATTAAATGATTTTACTATGTGTCAGATTTTACGTCCCAGCAATTTTTCATGGCTAACCTTATTTAATCTTCACAATAAGCTTATGAGAACATTATTATTATCATGATTGTAAAACATGAGGAAACCGAAGGCTAGAGGAAATATTCCATCTGCTTTCTACTTTAGTATCAGAAATACTGTAGCTCTTTTTCTCTTTAGAGATTAAATTTGCTTGAGAATTCTTAACTAGTACTTGCTACCTGTTTTTTTTTTGTTTGTTTTTATCCTCACTCGAGGACATTTTTGCATTTATCTTCAGATAGAGCGGGAGGGAGAGGGGGAGGAAGAGAGAGAAACATTGACATGAGAGAGACACATCGAGTGACTGCCACCCACACGACCCCAACTGGGGCTGGGGACAAATGGCAACCGAGGTACATGCCCTTAGCGGGAATTGAACCCGGGACTCTCTGGTCCACGGGCCGACGCTCTATCCACTGAGCCAAACAGGCCAGGGCTTGCTACCTGTTTTTAAAAAAACTTACTCAGAAGCACTGACTTGAAAGCAACACTTTATGTTAAAATGGGGCTTAAAATAAACAGATCATATTTTAGCACATTGAACAAAAACCTGAAGAATTAATTTAACCTCATTTACTGTGTATATCTGTTGAGCCCTGTGCCTGCACATTTACAGCTCAGTCATTTTATTGATTCTATTGTGTTTATGTGATTGTTTAAATATTGCTGTTCATAACACCAAATAATATGTTGTTAATCTTCACCAGAGGATTTTTTTTATGATTTTTAGATAGCATGGAGAGGGAGAGGGAGAGAAAACATTGATGTGAAAGAGACATATTGACTTGTGGCCTCCTGCACGACCCCAACTGGGGCTAGGCATCTTGTAACCCAGGTATGTGCCTTTGACCAGGAATCAAACCCAATTCAGTCTGCAGGCTGACGCTCTGACAGCTGAGCCAAACCAGCCAGGGCCCAAATAATATTCTGATTCCTTTTAAATTTAGTTGAATTCACCCTGGCTGGTTATCTCAGTGGTTAGAGCATTGGCCTGTGGTCCAGAGAGACCCGGGTTTGGTTCCCACTAGGAGCACGTATCTTGGTTGCAGTTTGTCCCCAACCCTGGTTGGGTCGTGCGAGTGGAAGCCACTCAATGTGTCCCTTTCAGTGTTTCTCTCTCTCTCTCTTGCTCTCTCTCCCTCCCACTCTATCTGAATAAAAAATGGGAAAAAATGTCTTCAGGTGAGGATTAAAAAAAAAAATTTAGTTGAATTTACTTTTTCTGATGATTATGAATGAAGTGTTTCATTTTTTCATGGTTCACTTTAAAGTCGCTTGAGCCCTGGCCAGTTTGGCTCAGCAGTTATTAGAGTGTTGGCCTGCAGTCCAGAGAGACCCGGGTTCGATTTCCGCTAAGGGCGCGTACTTCGGTTACAGTTTGCCCCTGGCCCTGGTTGGGTCAGGACCATGCGGGAGGCAGCCACTCGATGTGTCCCTTTCACGTTGATGTTTTTCTCTCTCTCTCTTCCTCTCTCTCCCTCCCACTCTATCTGAACAAAAAAATGTAAAATGTCCTCAGTTGAGGATAAAAAAAAATAATAATAAAATAAAGTTGCTTGATATTTAAGAAAGTTCAGATGTTCACGTTCAGTCCTAAATATATTCCTGAATAACCTCTGTGGTCTAGGGGAAAAAAATGCTGTTTAGGATGTTTCATACTTTCAGAAGAGATTGGTAAAGAGATAAAATTTCTTAGTTTTTAGCATTTTTCTGCTTTTCAAGTGATCTGATTTGTTTAGTAAAGGGAAAACATTTCAACTGCTCAAAAAAGTAGTGTACTTGATATTTTTATTTCCAACGATGCTTCCTAATCTTTTTTGTTTTTTTAAATCCTCACCCAAGGATATTTTTCTATTTATCTTCGGATAGAATGGGAGGGAGGGGAAGAGAGAGAGAAACATCAATGTGGGAGAGACACATTGACTGGCTGCCTCCCTCAGGTCCCTGAGCAGGGCTGGGAATGAACTGCAAATGAGGGATGTGCCCTTGACTGGAATCAAACCCATGAGCCAGTGCTCTAACCACTGAACAAAGTGGCCTGGGCTTTTTTTTTTTTTTTTTTAACTATTTATTGATTTTAGATACAGAGAGGGAGAAAAAGAAACGTTAATTTATTATTCCATTTATTTATGCAATCATTGGTTGATTCTTGTATGTGCCCTGACTAGAGATCAAACCTGAAACCTTGGCATATTGGGGTGATGCTGTAACCAACTGAGTTACCTGACCAGAGTCTAATCTACATTTTTAAAGAAAATTTTGAGCCCTGGCTGGTGAGGCTCAGTTGATTGAGCATCGTCCCATGCACTGAAAGCCTGCTGATTTGATTCCCAGTCAGTGCACATACCTAACTTGTGAGTTCAGTCCCTGGCCGGAGTGTGCACGGGAGGCAACCGATTGATGTTTCTCTCTCACATCAATGTTTCCCTTTCCCTTCCTCTCTCCGTGAACAAAGAAAACAATAAAAACTTAGAAAACATATAAAAAAGAGAACATTTTGATTCATAAAAAAACTTTTTAAAATTGCTTTTAGAGAGAGAGAGACATCGAAGTGAGAAACACCTATTGGTTGCCTCTCATATGTGCCCTGATGAGATCAAGCCCAAAACATTTTTGGTGCATGGGATGACACTCTAGCCAACTGAGCCATCCAGGAGGGGCAGTGTGTAAAAAACTTTTATTGCTTAAAAGTTACTATCAGTCAAGATGAGACCAAGAAAGAGAAGGAGAAAATATTTACTGGGCACCCGGTATGTTCCAGGATCTATGCATGATACTTTATTGGTGTTATTCTAAATCCACATTATAACACTGTAAGACTTGAGTTATCTCCATTTTCCAGTTGGAAAAACTGAGGTTCAGATTAAAAGCAACATGACCTCAGTTGTGCAGCTTCTAAGGTGTGGAACTAAAATTTAAATGTAATTCTAATCAACTCCAGTTCTTCATGCTAGGGTTGCCCACCACTTTCTGAACTAATTGATATTCTAGATTGATATCTATTCAGCCTTAGCTCTTATCAACTGGTAGTTATTAGATGTCCACCTGTACATAGTGCTTCCTGACCAAACAAGTAGAGTCACACCAATCAAGGCAGAGCCGCTTTTGTGTAAAAAGGTCTGGGATGCACTGACGTTCTCATGCTATGGAAAAAGTACTTCAGGTTCTTGTGCTGAGCTGTTAACAGAATAACATTATTGAGTGGGATATTCTCATCTGATTTCTTCAGCACTCAGAAGTATAATTTTGGAGTATTCTGGAAATAAAGTTGGATAATGGAGGCGAGAGCTTTAGATAGAGTTGGAATTAACTTTACCGTGTTCTCAAAGATCTTGAGCTTTTTTAGTCTTAACATCTATTATATATTTCGCACCTGAGCATTATTTAGGTTTTTATTTTATAAATGAAAAACATAGACTAAATGTTTCATTAACCTAGAATCAATTTACTGAGGTGCTAAGAACAACTTGAATTCTAGAAGATTAGATTTTTTTCAACTATGTGGCTGCTAATTAGTAGAACTCCTTGTGAGGTAGATTGTTGGATACATTAATTAATAACTATATCCCCATACCTCATCCCCTGAATTATATGTATCTTGAAATTCATTGTTTCTAAGTTAACCACCTTACTAATGAAGTAATTTAGAGTATTCAAATTTGCTATGTTAAGCAAAATAGTTTTCAGTAATAAACACTTTATTTAGTAATTACTTTTTACTTTATATTTAAATCCCAGGTTTTAAGTACTTATGTCTAAGCAACTGTGTACTCAATTTTAAATGAATAGAACAATAGTAATGACTGGTAGGATATGGGAGGGTAAAGCATAAGATGAGTTAATGTAAATACTTTTTTAGAGACACTCTAAACACTTAGGTCTGGAAAGCTCACATTTTGCAAGCCAATTTATTTTTCAGTTCTTGAAAAAGGCATGTTACCTTGTTACAAAATAATCCACAGTGGGGCAGCAAGGAGCTAGATGCATGAAAGAGGATCTGATAAGCAAAACATGTTTTTGATGCTAAAGAAGAACATATTTAACTTGAGCGAATCTGAAACATCTATTAATATTTTTTTTCTACGCAAGAAATTATTGTTCAAATAAACCAGATGAATCGGAAGTCCTCTACCCTTTCTAATATGAGTCTTAGGAAATCTTTTCATCTCTCTGTAAAATTTATGGTTCATAATCTGACTTGCACTAAAATTAGATAATAGGATGTGCTCATAAAGGGCATAAATTTAAACTGGCCTCCAAAGAATACTATTCGCTTGAGAATTAAGGACTCTTCTGCTCTTGTATATTGGAATTGTGCTTTATTTAAATTGCTGTTTTTTTTAATGGCATATCTTTGACTTTCAGGGAAAGGCGAAGGAGGAGGAGCAGGAGTTCTTCCAGATCCCCAAGAACATCAAAAACCTTAAAAAGGAAATCATCTAGGTCTCCATCCCCTAGGAGGTAGGTTCAAAACATATGCTAAAACTGAGGAGGATGCAGGGGACTATAATGAATTGCTTTGGACTTACCTCATTTCTTAGTGTGCAAGTACATAGGAAAATTTTCCAGAAATGGTAATGTTGGGTCAGAGGACTGTGTTTCTAATTGTGAGAGATATTTCCATATTGCCCTTCTTAAGGGCAACAACCTTGTATTTGAACCAGTTGTGTATGAGAGTGCCTGTTTCCCTGTAGCTGTCACAGGTTATGTAATCAAAGTTGTGGGGTTTTGCTCACCTGATAGACAAGAAAGTACCAACATGTAGTAATTTTAGTTGCATTTCTCTTAAGAGTAAAGGTGATCATCTCTATATTTGAAGGACATTTGTATTTCCTTTCCTGTGAATTGTCTATACTTTGCCAGTTTTCCTTTGGAGTCTGTTTTTTAATATTTTCAGGAGCTTTTTGTATTGGGGAGATTGTTCTTTAGTGATTTGATTTCAAGTATCATTCCTAGGTTGTCAATGTATCTTTCTAAGTTACTGTTTCTAGGTTGACCTACTCTTCCAAATAAGTAATTTAGAGTATGCATATTGGCTAATATGTTAAGCAAAATAGTTTTTAATAATTAGTTAATAACTGTTTTTTACTTTGTCATGTTTAAATCCCAGGTTTTAAATACAATATATTTTTTATATTTATTTAACTTAATTTCTTAATTTTTTTTCTATTTGACTTCTAGATTTTGTCATAAATTTAGAAAGGTCTTTTCCTATTCCAAGGTAATGATAGAATTCCCCTATTGTTTCTTTTTCTACTTTTATGGTTTTATTTTTATATTTATATTTTATATTTATATCTTTGATCTATTAGGAGGTTATCCATATGTACCATATGGCATATGGTTCCAATTTTATTTTATATTTCTAAATGCTTCTTTGCTGTTCTAATAGCATTCATCAAAAACTCAATTTTTGCCCTTGGCTGGCTTGGCTCAGCAGTTGGAGCATCGGCCCATGGACCAAAGAATTGTGGGTTCAATTCTGGTCAAGGGCATGTACCTCGGTTGCAGTTCATCCCCGGCCCTGGTCAGGGTTGTATGGGAGACAACCAATTGATGCGTCTCTCTCACGTTGATATTTCTCTCTCTCCCCCTTCCACTGTATCTGAAGATAAATAGAAAAATATCCTCGGGTGAGGATTAAAAAAAAAACAACAGTTTTCCAAACACTAGTTTGATATGTTGCTTTTGTCATGTACTACATTTTTCTAGTTGGGACTATTTCTGTGCTGTCTATACCAGTGATACCAGTGATTTTTAACCCTTTTCATCTTATGGCACACATAAACTAGTAACTAAAATTCTGTGGCACACCAAAAGTTTTATCTTTTGCTGATCAGACAAAAAAATAGGTATAATTTTGATTCGCTTGCACCAGATGGCTATTTTTGTGTTGACAGTTGTCATTTTTTATTTGACAATCTAAGGGAAAAGAGGTTAGTGCCTCTGACTAAATAGACTGGTATTGCATATTTTAAAAATTCTTATGGCACACTGGTTGAAAATCGCTGTTTTATGTTGTTGGATTGTTTTTGTTGTTATTGTTGAATGTATTACAGGTGTCCCCTCACTTCTCCCCCATTGACCCCCTCCCCCCTGCTCCTGCCCTCCTCCTGCCTTCCCCACACTATTGGCTGTGGTTTATCTTTTCCCATTCCCCTTCCCCTTTCCCCCTTCCCTTTGAAGTTCATCATGGTAATAACCAATTTGTACTTCTTAATCCCTTCACTTCTTTTTGTCTATCCTCTTCACCCCCTTCCATCTGGCAACCAACAAAATGTTCTCTATATCTATGCGAATGTTTCTGTTCTGCTTGTTCATTTTGTTTGTAGATTCAATTGTTGATAGCTATGTATTCATTGCCATTTTGTTTGTTTATATTTTTTATCTTTTTCTTCGAGAAGACCCTTCAACATTTCATATAATACTGGTTTGGTGGTGGTGAACTCCTTTAGCTTTTCCTTGTCTGGGAAACTCTTTATATGTCCATCAATTTTAAATGATAGCTTTGCAGGATAGAGTAATCTTGGTTGTAGGCCTTTGCTTTTCACCACTTTGAATATTTTTTGCTTATCTCTTCTGGCCTGCAAAATTTCTTTTGAGAAATCAATCAGCTGACAGTCTTATTGGAGCTCCCTTGTAGGTAACTATTTTTCTCTTCCTGCTTTTAAGATTCTCTCTTTGTCCTTAACCTTTTCCATTTTGATGATTATGTGTCTTGGTGTGAGACTCTTTGGGTTCATCTTGTTTGGGATTCTCTGTGCTTCCTGGACTTGTATGTCTGTTTCCTTCACCAGGTTAGGGAAGTTTTCTGTCATTAGTTTTTCAAATAGGTTTTCGGTTTCTTGCTCACTCCTTCTGACACCCTTCTGGCACCCCCATGATGCGAATGTTGGTATTCATGAAGTTGTCCCAGAGGTTCCTTACACTATCCTCAGTTTTTTGGATTCTTTTTTTTTTTTTTGCTGTTCTGATTGGGTGTTTTTTGCTTCCTTTTATTCTGAATTGATGGTTTGTTTCTTGGCTTTTCCTACTCTACTATTGATTTTCTGTAAATTATTGTTTATTATTTCAGTTAGTGCACCCTTTATTTCTGACTGGTCTTTTTTTATGCTCATGAGGTCCTCACTAAGTTCCTTGATCATCCTTGTAACCAATGTTTTGAACTCAGCATCTGTTAGGTTGCTTATCTCCGTTTCATTTAGTTCTTTTCCTGGAGTTAGTTCTTTTCTTTCATTTGAGACATGTTTATTTGTCTTCTCATTTTGGCTGCCTCTCTGTGTTTGTTTTTATGTATTAGGTAGAGTTTCTGTGTCTCCTAGACTTCCTAGGGTGGCCTATTGTAGTAGGTGTCCTGTAGGGTCCAGTGGCACAGCCTCCCTGATCATCTCAGCGGGGCCTTGCGCTGCACCCTTTGTGTTGTACACTCAATTACAACTCTACACTCTTCTGTTGTAATTGAGTCTTGATTGCTGTTTGGCACGTCAATGGGAGGGATTTAGTCAGGCTAATCAGCTAGCTGTAAGGACTGGTTGTGCCCACTGAGTTCTGACCTCTGACTACCTTGGAAGATCAGCTGTGCAGGGGTCCACCACACAAAGCAAGACTTACTTCAGTAGGGCACTGGTACCCAGTGAATCCATTCATTGAGTGTGTCGTTTGTGCAGATGGTTGGGTAGTGGTGCTTTGATGGGGTCTGAAGCTGTTCACTGCGTGTGCTGAGTCTGAGGCAAGGTCAGCCAATGCCTGTCATCAACCCGGGGTCACCTGGCATAAACTACAAAGTGATGCAGATGGCTGCTTCCTGTGCTGGGCTTAGAGGTGTCCAGGAAAGCCAAGCTGTGAACCAAGGCTGGCTCCTTCTCGTGCCAGGCCTGGAGCCATTTAGCGAGAAGTATGGGGTTGCTGAGGCCAGATGCTACTTGTTTGAGAGAATTTAGGAAAATCTGAAGCAGGAGCCAAAATAGGCCAATCATATGGGAAAGCCCCTGGAAACAGCTTGGGTGGGCCCGAAAGTTGAGTGGGGTAGGGTCGCAGGGAATCACCAGGGTGGGACAGAGTGAACCAGATATGGCTGGAGTTCCAGATATGGCTCCTGTCTGCCGGCCCCATCAGGGAAGGACTCACCAAAGGAGCAGTGGCCTTGGCCAGCATGTGTGTCCAGGAGAAAGCTACCCTTCAGCTCTTGCCCTGATGCCAGACAACTCAGTTCTTTGCTGTATTTCTCTGGTGCCTTTCAAGCTGCCTTCCCCATGCTGGATCCCAGAGGAGTGAGTCTGAGTAAGTCTGTGTGCGGGCCCTAAAAGGAGCTGCTTGGGACACCAGCAGCCTCAGCTCCTTCAGCCTCAATTCCTGATGGTTTTTACAGCTAGAAGTTATGGGGACTTCTCTTCCTGGCACTGGAACCCTGAGCTGAGGGCCTGGTGTGGGCTGGGGACCCTTCACTCCTCAGGGAGGACCTTTACAGCCAAGGTGTCCCTCCTGGTTTTATATCTGCCATCCGTGGCTGTGCACCCAGCTGTCTGCATCTCAGCCCCTCCTACCAGTCTTGATATGGCCTCTTCTTTAATTTCATAGTTGTAGGACTTCCATTCAACTCAGTTTCAGGCGGTTCTGAATGATGGTTCTGTAGTTTAGTTGTAATCTTGATGTGGCTGTGGGAGGAGGTGTTACTGTGTTTACCTACGCTGCCGTCTTGACCTAAAGTCCCTGTTGGATTTGTTTGACTAATGATTTGTGTACTAGTGCCCCATGGTTTTACTTACTCAGATTTATAGTATTTCTTAATATCTGGTAAGGCCTGTCCTCCCTTACACTCCCCATTGCTCTTCTTTTGAGTTTTCCTGACCATGCTTCTTACATGTCTATTTTTCTATTTGAACATAAAAGTCTGTTGTCTAGGTTCTAGAAATAAAAGCTATTGATGATTTGTATTACAGTTGAATTGCATTTATTAATTAGAGAAAATTTATAAATAGCTTTATTTATGATGGTGAATCTTTCTATCCAGGAACATGTTATATCATTTTGCTCATTCAGACCATCTTTAAGTGTTTTTTTTTTTTTCAATCCTCACCTGTGGATATTTTTCTGTTTATCTTCATATAGAGTGGGAGGGAGGGAGAGAGAGGGAGAGAGAGACACACATCGATGGCTGCCTCCCTCATGACCCCAACCAGGGCTGGGGACGAACCGCAACCGAGGTATGTGCCCTTGACCAGAATCGAACCCATGACTCATTTGTCGCGGGCCAACATCTACTGCTGAGTCAAACTGGCCAAGGCTCTTTAGTGTTTGTTTCATACAGAGTTTATGCATTTCCTAAATTTATTCTTAGATATATTTTACTTTATTTTTGCGTTTTTTAAATTTATTTTTATTAATTAATTTATTGTTGTACAGTTGTTTCTCCTTTTTCTCCCCAGACATCCTCCTTCCTATTTCCCCACCTCCTCGCCAAGTGTTAAGTTTTTAAATAAGGTCTTTTCTTTTATTACATTATCTAATTGGAGTTTGGGTTTTTGCATAGGAAGGTATTGATTTTTTTTTTTTTTTTTTATCCCCCTACCTTATTGATAAGTCATAGTTTTTCAGTTGGTTTTCTAAGTTTAGAAAAGAGATATTTAGCCCTGGCCGGTTTGGCTCAGCGGTTAGAGCGTTGGCCTGTGGATCAGAGAGACCCGGTTTCTGTTTCCGCGAAGGGCACATGCCTCAGTTGCGTTTGTCCCTGGCCCCAGTTGGAGTCGTGTGGGTGGCAGCCAGTTGATGTGTCTCTCTCATATCCATGTTTTACTCTCTCTCTCTTCTTCCCTCTCTCCCTCCTGCTCTATCTGAAGATAAATGCAAAAATGTCCTCGGGTGAGGATAGAAAAAAAGAGAGAGGGATATTTATAAAAAGCTTTGGCAGAATGTAAGGAGCATGTTTCCCAGCAGGGGTATTTTGTTTATTTGTTTGGTACTGGTTTTAGGTGAGAATAATGGAAGGCATAAGGTATTATAGAGGCGCCATATTTTTATTGGAAAAAAAACAAAACACTTTGCTTATGAAAGTCAAGACTTTGCTCAGATTAGACAAAAAGATATATTCACAAAGTGCACTGTTTTCGCTATTCCTTTTACCTTGCTCCCTCTCTAAGTGATTGTTTTATCCTTCCTTCCTTTTTGCAAAATTGAGCGGATACATATATTTGAATTTCTTTTTTTTTTTCACAAAAGACAGAAGGTAGTCAATGTTCTACTCTGACATCAGTGTTTCTCTCCCCCATCTCCCTTTCTCTCTCAATAAAAATATTTAAAAAAATAAAATGTTAATTGGTGTGGGTACAATAGGTGGCATTATAGGTCCTATACATGATCAAACTAGGTTACTGATATGCTTATTTATTTTGTTAATAATATAGCAGGTTGTTCATTTCTTAGAAGTTAACTGACATCTTATTAATATTCTTATAGCAGAAATAAGAAGGATAAAAAGAGAGAAAAAGAAAGGGACCATATCAGTGAAAGAAGAGAGAGAGAACGTTCAACCTCCACAAGGAAGAATTCTAATGACAGAGATGGGAAAGAAAAATTGGAGAAGAACAGTACTTCACTTAAAGTAAGTAATGTTCATTCAGTGTTCAGCCTGTGAATAATTCATAATTGAGATTGTTATTTATTCCATGGAAGTAGTTTTCGGCTAAAAGGTCCTTGAGGGTAATCATGTCTTTTACGTTTTTGGTATTCTTTCATATCTGTTGAATTGAATTTTTTTTTAAACTAAATTTTGAAGGGATAGATAAGAGCTAATTAAACAGTCATCACATTCCTTATTTTAGAGAATCATAGAACAGCGTACAATAAGAAAAGTTTTAAACTATCTACGTGTAACACATTATTTGATTTATACTAAGATTTCTACTTGATGCCATTTTTATCAGTATATTTGTTTCAGCAAATTTGGCAAGTGGTCTGTCATTATTGGTTTTGTAATATATACTTAAATTAGGTTTGTTGAATTAGAGTAATGGAAAACCAAATTCCACCAAGTAAAGGTTTTTGGATTAATATTTTAAGAGCTTGTGAATTATGTTATACTGGTATAATTTGTATTTGAAAATTATGAGTTCTGGAGCTTTTATCATACTGTTTTATTTACTGTCATGCTGATAGAAGTTTATCATTATCAATAACATTGATAATATGCATTTCTTGACCACTTACTATGTACCAGGCACTATTCCACATGTTCTCATTTAAGTTTAGGGCAGGTCTGTTACACTTTTTGAAGTCATTGAATAACATTTATTGAACACTTCCTTAGAATTTCTGGTGATCCATTTTTTATTTTTTATTTTCATGGATTGCCCATTTATTATGAGAAGTACAAAAGGCAAAGGGTATCGATATTTATATGAAAAGGTAATGGGAGAAAACACCCAGTTTTGTTAATTGACAAACATAAAATTACATACTTTAGCCATAAGCAGATGTAGTAGCAGGCAACTCTTCAGAAAAATATTAAATGTAGACCTTAATTCATTGTAGGAGAAGGAGCACAATAAAGAACCAGAATCAAGCGTGGGCAAAGAAGATGATGACAAGGATGCACCAAGGACTGAGGAAAACAAAGTACAGCAAAATGGGAATTGTCAACCAAATGAAGAAAACCTCTCTACCAAAACAGAAGCTGTATAGGACCGACAAATGCACCTCTAAACACACGCTGGAATAAAATCCAAAGCTTTAATTCTTTTAACAAGATGTTAAACAGTGAAGAAATCCAGTTAAGCATAAAGATAGAAGCTAACAGCTTTTATAGTTGTTAGGTGACTTTGTGGCCATCTTGTTACTGAGTAAGAAAATAAAGCATGGACATCATGAAAATAACTGATGTTACCCAAAACGCATCTTCTAAAATCTGTGCATTTCCATGGTGGCTGACACACTTGTCATGTGGTTTGTTAGTGTTTGCCAATAAATGGGACATCAAAGATCCAAATTTGTACTATCCATACAAGACTGGAGATAAGCATTGGAAGCTCTTTTAAAAAAGTGCTAGTTACTGAATTTTGTATTGTTTTACTTATTTTTTTTAAATTTCAATATATACAGATTGATGATGTGCTTGAAATTGGTGCAAATATATACCCACCCTTGTAAGTGCAGAATGTGTAAGAAGTTTTAACACACCACAGGATTTATAGTGATTGTGTTAAATTCTCACTATTGTGTTTCTTTTTCTCACTGTTTAGGACAGATTTTCTTTAAAATAGTTTTACAGATTACAATTGCTTAAGTAAGTGGATTAAAAAACAACTGACAATGCATGCTACTACTGTTCTCTTTCAAAAGGAAGAACAACTGTGTTGAATACTAATGCTAATGTATTAGTATTCAGTGTTTAGGATCATTGGGTTTCCCCACATAGTAAACACTTCCTTTTTAACTCTTGACATTTCCGAGCTTATTATGAATAATACTGCAGCGTGTGTTGTCAGCGGTAGGTGGCAAAGGTGTCATTATAAAAAGAAAACTTGAGTTTTCAAAATGGGCTATGGGAGCACAAGCTGAAGCTTTAGTGCCTTCTACAATGTGGTATACTGTTTTCTAGAATTTTATATGTGCTAGTCATTCTCAATTCATACAGAATTTAGATGGATATTCTATTCACTCCCATAGAGAAGTGTGCAAGTGATATGTCATAAGAGCTTCTTACTTAGTTCACCTAGTAAGAGAGGAAGTCCTGTTTTCAAGAATGACTTTAGAGCTTAAAACAACAGTGCAGTTTTGGGACCATCAGTTTTATACTGTGATCATTGAGAATGAAGCATGTTCTTAATTTACTTAAAGCACATCCTTTAGTTGTCTACATGGGATGGCCTTAATTATTACCTCTCAATCACCTTCTCATAAATGATGTGCAGAAATTGAACTTAAAGGAGAATAAATACATGAGGTTGTTTTGTGTTTGAGGATATGTTTACTTGGTTTAAAATATAGGTCATCCAGTATAGGTTCACTTTTTGCAGAAAGTATGCAAGTAGTAAAATGACAACATTGGTAATATTTTCCCCCAAACCATAACTCATAGTTTCAGAACTCTTTTCATTGTTATATTTCCAAACAAGTTTATACCTTTTAATTAGAATGTTATTGAAAAATCAAGTATAATTATTTCAATACAATGTAATACAATCAAATTACTCAGTTGCCTTACCTCATGGGAAGAGTTACAGATTTAAAAAGATGGGTAGCACATCAGTTTCTTGGTTTCAACTTGAGTTTTCTTTTAATGTTAATACTATTGAAACTTAAGTATTTGGTGGAAAATGGAAAGAATTGCCCTTATTGCAAATAATGAAGCCTGGTTTGATTATGAAGCTGCTTAATTACTCTTCATGTGTCCAGAATTACTGTGGTATTTTTTCCTTTCTGTCACTGTGTACATTAAATTTTTGAAAATGCTTTACTATGTAAAGTATAGATGGTCATTTTAATCATTCAACCACATACGGTTGGCTGGTAAACAGCTTATTCTGATACAAGAATGCATGGTGATACATAAAGATCGTGAAGGAGTATGTATGTCTGGCATCAACAGCTGTCTTATTTATGATATGTAAGTAGAATAGAGCAAATGTTTGACTCCTTGTTATTTTTAGTACCATTTCTTAATAAAGCTTAAGTATTTTAGAGGAAAGTATTTGTTTATGCATTTCAAAACAGCATCTTAGTTTTATTCTGTTGTCTTTTTAGCTTTCATAGAAATTGTTTTGACATGGAGAGTGCATGTTCGTGTGGTGTCTATAAAACAATCATTTAAAGTTTTCTTGTACTCTGGACTCTATTAAATATTTTTTTATGTTGTAATTAGCATATTTAATTGGGGTCCTGCTGCTAATTATTATTTTTTTTGCTAATGCTTTAAAAGAATGAAAGTGATTTGTAAAAGTTGGGCATAAGTAGGAATACAAGAGATCTGGAGAAAGTGAAATCATTTTCTCAAATTAGAGCTTATGGAAGCAAAGCTTTCTAGGGTCTATAGATGTGTGTGTGTGTGTGTGTGTGTGTGTGAGAGAGAGAGAGAGAGAGAGAGAGAGAGAGAGATTGATTGATTTTCTCCTAGTTCACTTATGAGAGCTGATATGTTTCCATTTGTTTATTTTCTTCCAAGATAATTTTTTTTTTTTAAGATTTTTTTTTTTTTCATCCCAGGTAGATGTCAGAAAAACTTGAGGTAAGGCCAAGATGACAGCCATTTTATACTTGAAACCTCCTATAATTATCTTTTTTAGTTTGGTCATACAGAGAGTATAGTCTGTTTTTTAAATTGTAATTGCTCTTCATCATAGTAGACAAATTCTGTTGGTCCTCTTGTTCTTGCTTTCCACCAGTGCACACTGAAATAATAATATAAGACGGCCCTCCAAAGGAAGCCAGTTTCATCTGAAAAAACTAGTATAAATCCTTAACTTCTGCAACTGTCTCTTTAGTTACGATTTTCCATCTAATCTAACTTAGAATTGCAACACTAGTCAGCTTTGGTTTTCTGTTCAGAATTCTCTTTTTCAAGAATTTCAATGTATGCTGTGTTGATCTTCAGAAGTGTCAGAGGCTTAAAATTTGACATGCTCAATTAAAAATAAAAACCCACATTTAGAATAAATATTTTGTCAAGAAAATAATGTGGTATTATGACTATAATATGACTATTTTCAGGACCCCCATTCATTCCTATGTATGTAGCTATCTTTATTTAAAACTTAAAAAAAAAGAAAAAACTTGACCCAAATCTTTCAACTGAAGATAATATTCAGATTTAAGAGTTATAATATATATAGTAATAGGCTTTTAAAAGTTTTTAAAAATCTATTGGAAATTATATGCTTTGATTGAAATCTTTAGCAGTTGAAGTAAATCTTTTTGGAGGGATGCATTGGAAAACTTAACATTTCAATTAGTTTCTTATATTTTCACTAAAATATAGTATGAATTTAACTGGGAGGGTTATGAAATAGAGCCATTTTAACAAACTATGTTCATTACATGTTTAAATACATATTTTAATTTTTGCTGCTTACTTAGTATTTTCTTGTGTTTATTTACTAATGTAATATTTACTTAAGTTGAATTGTTTATTTTCAGATTTCAAAAGTTACTGCCCTTAAAAGGGCTAAACTATATTTCTGGAAGCAAGAGTCCAGTATAAATGTAATAAAGTAATCTTTTAAAATAAAATTGACTTCCCTACTTAATCTTGGGTTTGTGGGTGAATTTGTTTTGTTAGTACATTTTTATTGATGATTCTGCCTAAAGACTAATACATTATTTCCCAAAAAAGCTAACGGTATTAATGACTTTTGGTCCATATTCTATTAGGTTGGATTTAGTAACATTTAGATTCCCCCCCCCCCCCATTTCATGTTAAGGTACTTTTGTAGTTTCTAGCAATTATTATAATTATTAGTTTGTATCTAATATAATATTAAATACAAACAGATTATATATAACGTAACAGATAATATATATATATATTAAAGCTGGTTTATACTCTGTTGCCTCATTTTAAAATTTACTTGTATCTAGCTAACATTTTAATTTTGAAAATTGCCAATTTTGGGGAAATATTTTACAGTGAATATTTATTTTCCCAGGATTGGAATAAATAGTTTCCCCCCATTCTTGATTAACATTTATTTGCTAGATAGATACCTTCTTAACTATATTAAGTTCAAATTCATGAAAATCATACTGAAAGAATTAGAGTTGAGATTGAGTTCTACCAATTTAAGGTTACGGGTAGGCAAAAAAACTGTTGGGGAGCAATCTACAGAATCCCCAGATTTCCAGAGATTACATTTTGGTGTACTGTGTAGTTGTATAGGTAGTTCAGTTTAATGGTTAAATATTACTCTCCTTAATCTTAATTAGGTTAATACAATAGTGTTCTAATGCTATGTATTACAAGGGAAGAGTTTAAAACGTAAACATGAAGATGCTGCATAGGTGGTGTGTGTTTATGTGAGTAGGACTACTAAATGGTACTAGTAAAGATTTATCAAATGATGCTGCTATTGTGTTGCTATATTTTTAATAAAATGGAAGTCTTAAAACCTTACCTGTCTTGAGGAGTAATTTCACTTATTTCTGAGACATTTATTTGTATATTTACAGCTTTTTATAACTAAGTAGTAATAGGCTGTTCCAGGGTTTCAAAATTACTATAAAAATAGAGGTACTTGAACGTCGGCTGGTCTTCATGTTCTGTGGCAATAACTTTAATCAAAGACGCTTTGCATCTTTGACAATTTGTAGTCTAGTAATAGCCGATTTTGGAATCTCCCTTTTGTTTTCAGAATCAGCTTCTTACTAGAGTATTTACATGATAAAAATTGTCACTGCTTGTCCTTGAACAGCAAGTGGAATGCCTTTTCCCATTTATCAGAAATACATCTTTGCATTTGGTGAATGAGTGGTGTGTTCTGAATGGTCATTTAAGTGAAACAGCCTATTAGCCAAAAGTTCCTTTTAAAAAAATAAATCTGCCCTGGCTGGTGTTGCCCCATGCACCTCAAGATTGCTGGTTTGATTCCTGATCAGGGCACATACCCAGGTTGTGGGCTCGATCCCCAGTAAGTGGCATGCAGGAGGCAGCTGATCAGTGTTTCTCTGTCTTTCCATCTCCCCTTCTTTCTAAAGTTAGTACAAACATTTTTAAAAAAATCAGAAATCAGATGTGTAAACTTGAATTCTGTATGACAGAGATGATGAGGCTGTAATGGCTGTATGCATTGATTTCTATATAGGCCAGCTATGGTTAAAGACTATTAGCCATTTTGATTTCCAAATGTGTTCAACTACATGGTGGGGGTCCTTTAAAGTGTACCCCTTACCAGTAGTAAGTTTGTGTGACCTCCACAGGACTTATTAGATTCTAATTATTATTATTCCTCTAATAATTAGAGGAATGCCAGGTTGGAGTAGTAACTGTATCTGACAGCAGACGTTTGAACAAAACGGCTGTGTTATTTTTGTTGTGCATGATCACTAAATAGTAACTACTTGAGTATAGTTATAGTACATTTAGTTTTTATAATTTTCTTTTTTCTTTTTTAATTATATCTTTATTGTTGAATGTATAACAGATGTCCCTCATTTTTCCCCCATTGACCCCCCCTCCCCACTGCTACCCCCTCTTTTCTTTTCCCACACTCTTGTCTGTGTCCATTGGTTATGCATATAAGTTCTTTGGTTTATTTCTTCCCACTCTCCCAACACCCCTTTCCTTTGAGGTTTGTCAGTCTAGCAACCAATTTGTACTTCTTAATTCCTTCACCTTTTTCACCTATTCCCCCATTCCCCCCTCCCATCTGGCAACCAACAAAATGTTCTCTGTATCTATGAGAATGTCTCTGTTCTGCTTGTTCATTTTGTTTGTGGATTCTGTTGTTGATAGCTATGTATTCATTGCCATTTTGTTTGTTCATAGTTTTTATCTTTTTCTTCAAGAAGACCCTTCAACATTTCATATAATACTGGTTTGGTGGTGATGAACTCCTTTAGCTTTTCCTTGTCTGGGAAAGTTTTTATATGGCCATTGATCCTAAATGACAACTTTGCAGGATAGAGTAATCTTGGTTGTAGGTTCTTGCTTTTCATCACTGAATATTTCTTGCCACTCCCTTCTGGCCTGCAAAGTTTCTTTTGAGAAATCAGCTGACAGTTTTATGGGAACTCCCTTGTAGGTAACTAGCTGCCTTTCTCTTGCTGCTTTTAAGATTCTCTCTTTGTCTTGAACCTTTTGCATTCGGATGATGATGTGTCTTGGTGTGGGCCTCTTGGGGTTCATCCTGTCTGGGACTCTGTGCTTCCTGGACTTGTATGTTTGTTTCCTTCACCAAGTTAGGGAAGTGTTCTGCCATTATTGTTTCAAATGGGTTTTCGATTTCTTGTTCTCTCTTCTCCTTCTGGCAACCCCAAGATGCGAATGTTGGCACGCTTGAAGTTGTCCCAGAGGCTCCTTACACTATCCTCATTTTTTTGGATTCTTTTTTCTTTTTGCTGTTCTGATTGGGATTTTTTTGCTTCCTTATATTCCAAATCGATGGTTTGCTTCTTGGCTTTACCTACTCTACTATTGAATCTGTGTAAATTATTCTTTATTTCAGTTAGTGCCTCTTTCATTTCTGACTGTGCATCCTTCATTTCTGACTGGTCCTTTTTTATGCTCTTGAGGCCCTCACTAAGTTCGCTGAGGTTCTCACTAAGTCCATTGAGCATCCTTATAAGCAGTGTTTTGAACTCAGCATTTGTTAGGTTGCTTATCTCATTTTCGCTTAGTTCTTTTCCTGAGGTTTTGTTCTGTTCTTTCATTGGGGACCTGTTTCTTTGCCTCCTCATTTTGGCTGCCTCCGTGTGTTTGTTTCTGTGTATTACTTAATGAGAGGTATGGGGCTGAGACCAGATGCTGCTTGTTTGAAAGAATTTAGGAAAAACCTGAAGCAGGATCCAAAACCTGCCAATCCTATGGTAAAGCAACTGGCAACAGCTTGGGTGGGCCTGAAAGTTGGGTGGGGCGGGGTCTCAGGGAGTCACCAGGGCGGGGCTACCAGGGTGAGCCAAGCTGCTGGAGTCCCAGATATGGTGACTGCCGCCCCCGGGAAGGGCTCACCAGATGCCTCTGACAGCATGTTTGTCCTGGAGGAAGCCCCCTCTCCAGCCCTCGCTCCAGTGCCAAACAGCTCAGTTCTTCCCTGTATGTCTCTGGCGCCCCTCGAGCTGCCTCCCCTCCAAGCTTAGAGGGAGAGAGTCCGACAAGTCCGTGCGCGGGCCCTTTAAGGAGCTGCCTGGGGCTCCAGCCGCGTCAGCTTCCCTGAGCCTCAGTTCCCGCTGGTTTTTCCAGCCAGAGGTTATGGGGATTCTCCTCCTGGCACTGGAACACTGAGCAGGGCACCTGGTGTGGGGCGGGGACCCCTCAGTCCTCAGGGAGGCCCTTCCCAGCCGAGGTGTCCCCCTGATTTTTATCCACCGCACTTGGCTGTGGGACCAGCCTGTCCACCTCCGCCCCTCCTACCAGTCTGGATGTGGCTGCTGCTTTAATTCCGTAGTTGTAGGACTTCCATTCAGCTTGATTTCAGGCGGTTTTGAGTGATCGTTGTTCTGTAGTTTAGTTGTAACTTTGATGTGGTTGTGGGAGGACGCGATACCGCGTTTACCTGCGCCGCCATCTTGACCGGAAGTCTCGATAATTTTCTTTTTTAAAAAATTTTTTCTTTATTGATTTTAGAGAGAGAGGAAGGGAGAAGAAGAGAGAGATAGAAACATCAATGGGAGAGAACATTGATTGGCTGCCTCCTGCATGCCCCTCACTGAGGATTTGACCCACAACCTGGGCATGTGTCCTGACCAGGAATTGAACTGGCAACCTCTTGGTGCATGGGTCGATGCTCAAGCACTGAGCCACACCGGCTGGGCTATAATTCTCTTAGAAAAAATGTCCATAGATGCAATGAAAAAAGTAGTTAAGTTGTTTTTATTTTTAAATAATATACTACTTTTTAATGTAGTAATAGCCACAGTGATAATCACAGGTGGTAGATGGAATAGTATTTCTCTCTCTCCTGAGCTGCAGTCTTGAATTTCCAACTACCTTCTCAGTAGCACCTGACACAAAGTACTCATTGAATATTGGCTATTATAATACTGGATATCTTACTAG